GAGGGCAGTACACGGGTTTTTCAGAGGGCAGTACACGGGTTTGTAAGAGGGCAGTTTACTGGTTTGCCCATACTAAAATTCAGGTAACCCCTGGCTGGTGTGACAGCTACTAATGCCCCAAAGATAACATCTGTGAGGGTTGAACTGGGTATCTAGAATCTTGCATGTTGACTGCGATTTGTAAATCTCATGATCGTATAGGAAACATTTAGGACAAGCGATTAATCGATCAAGAAATATAACTATGTAGTTGTAATTGGTTTGAATCTTCAAATTTTCTATTGTTGTTATTGTTGTTGATGATCCTGGCTTCAGGACCGATCGCGCCTAAATGTGGTGCCAGATAATGTCACGGGAAATGAAAGGGAACTGCCGCCATGTTGACAAGGTCATCCAGGAATTTTTAGAGTCAAAACTAACGGTCTCTTTACAGGCCAGCAGCATCTTGGGCACAGCAGCACCTTGGGCGGATGTCGCTGGATTCTTCACAGGCCAGCAGCATCTTGGGCAGATGTCGCTGGATTCTTCACAGGCCAGCAGCATCTTGGGTGGATGTCGCTGGATTCTTCACAGGCCAGCAGCATCTTGGGCAGATGTCGCTGGATTCTTCACAGGCCAGCAGCATCTTGGGCGGATGTCGCTGGATTCGGCCCCGTCAGGCTTTGATAAATCACAAATATGAGTCTAACATGGTATATGGAATTGACCAGTGTCGTGACAAGAGTCCTTGACTGCCAGACTCAACTGTTGATTTTCCCTCTTGATACCATTAACAACCCCTCCCCTCCCCTTTTCCACGCCCCCCCCCCCTTTTAGGTATTGACCAATCAATCAATCATTAGTCAGTGTTAAGGCCGGGGCGATTTAACTGGCATCCGTATATTGCTAAGTGGAAGATGCATGCTTTTAACATTTTAAAGTTGATTTCCTTGTTGCTGCTGAAGCATAGACTGCTATTGCTGTTTAAATGTTATATTACTATGGCCATCTTCTTTTTGAACAGTTTCCATTTCTATTTATTATAATAAGCCTACTGATTTAAACGCTTTTCTTCTCTACTCGTCCTCCTATCCCTCCTCAATTCCGTTCTCCCAACTTCTACGCCTCCGCAGACTTTGCCAGGAGAACGACGACTTTCACACCAGGGCCCTGGAAATGATGAACTTCTTCCGGCCTCGGTGGAATCCTTAAAATGTCTTATTTGCCGCCTTTCACCGCGCACGGTCTTTCCATCGTGCCGAGGCTTTCCTGTATAAGCGTAAACGTCACCACAACAAACATATCCTCACACTTACCTACCACGCTCACTACATCCGCGCCAAAAATATTGTCCTTAAGCATCTCTCCATCCTTAAAGCTGACCCCTCCACAGCACGATTTTCTCTGAACTTTCTCTAGTGGCCTACAGGCATGACCGTAACTCTCAAGGACATTCTAGTCAAGAGTCGGTTACGTCCCGCGTCTGAGCCCAACTTCGGCACGGTCTTTTGCCACAGACCTGTATGCAGGACCTGTCCATATGTGGTCTAGGTGACTAGTCTTGAATTCCCGAACGCCATCTTCCACACACGTGAAGCATTCTATTGTACCAGCTGCAATGTCATTTATGCCATCAACTGCAAGAGATGTGGCATAAAATACATTGGTGCAACAGGTCTACGGTTGGCTGACAGACTCGGACAACATCTTTTATATGTGCAAAATGGTTCCCTGAAACCAGTATCGTTGCACTTCAATTCCAAGTATCACCAAGGTGTCCTCGACATGGAGGAGCCATTAAACCTAGCCACTCCAGCGACTGAGTCCGCAAGTTTCTTGAGAATAACTGTATTTACACTTTGGGAACTTTAACACCCTCTGGACTGAAATGCCAACACAGTATCATTTAAACTCTTAGGGGATTGAACTGACCTCACAGTATTATCTATAACCCCTAGTTATACACCCTGGTACTCCACAGGGGGTATTTATCCTTCGAGCCCACGTGTGTAGGCATTCTGCTGAGAATCCATCGACCCGGCAGATTCAAGATACCAGCTAGGTGACTGTGTATTTTTTGTAGTATTGTTAGATTTGCAGTTGCTGATGAAGGCTCCATAGACGCAATGTTCACATGTTGCTTGTATTTGTTTTATTGTGAAGCTTGCTAATATACTTTTCGTTCGGTTTTATATCTTTTCTGGCTATTGATTATAGAGCCTAGATATTCAAAGACTGACATTTTCCATTGTTTCATCATTTTTTTTTGGTAAGGGGGGGGGGGGGGGGGGAGGGATGTTCGGCCAATTGTGTCTGTGGATATTTTTTCTTATTTTCTTAAAATTGAAGAATAGGTTTTGATCATCGCTGTGTTTTGACGGGCATGATTACATGTTGTGTTTCGTTGACAACGCTCGAAAGGAGGACTGTGTCGTCTGCATAGTCCCGGGGTGGATTTGAGCGGATCACATCAGTGACAAGTCTGGTCGATTTATTTATATCAATGTTTTTAAAGTGCAGGTTTTCCACACATAAAAATGTGAAAGTTCGCATGTAAAGAAATAAGACAAAACTCTGGGGAAAAAAAACAAAAAACAGAGAGAGTCTTTTGGAGCAAACATTAAAATAGGACCTGGTCTGAAAGTCTAGAAGACAGTATATGCTCAATAAATGCCACCGGTCTGAATGTCTCAGAGATACGGCATACGCTCACTCAATAAATGCCACCGGTCTGAATGTCTCGGAGATACGGCATACGCTCACTCAATAAATGCCACCGGTCTGAATGTCTCGGAGTCACGGCATACGTTCACTCCATAAATGCCACCGGTCTGAATGTCTCGGAGATACGGCATACGCTCACTCAATAAATGCCACCGGTCTGAATGTCTCGGAGATATGGCATACGTTCACTCCTTAAAAGCCACCGGTATGCATGTCTCAGAGATACGGCATACGCTCACTCAATAAATGCCACCGGTCTGAATGTCTCGGAGATATGGCATACGTTCACTCCTTAAAAGCCACCGGTATGCATGTCTCAGAGATACGGCATACGTTCACTCCATAAATGCCTCCGGTCTTGTTGTCGAAAAAATGGTATATGATATAAATGCCACCAGTTTTACAAACATCTGCAGTCAAGTGAAACAAATTTTAAGTTATACAGAAAAATATGATTTATCTTTAAAATAATGAAAGTGTTTCGTTGTGGCTTAGAGCGCATGTGACAATTTTCGAGGTAGTGGGTGACGCAGTTGGGCGATGGTAGCAGTTGGCGCCATGGAACAGATGAAGATCTGGCCACGGGTTATTCCCAAAGATACACCGCAAACAACGTCCAGTGTGAAGGACACAGGTACCACTCAGAAGACGATGAGGAGGCATGGGACTCACTGCCCATGGCGATGGCGAGTGTGACTAGCAAGACCCGCACGCGTTAAGAAAAGTCTTCCACAATTAGAGCATGAGATTTGAGGACCGTTGCTGTCAATATTTGTATTTATTGTTTCCAGGATTGTTGACCATAAGATGACCACCTCATGGACAAGAATCGAACAGGAAGCAATCCCAGAATCCCCTTTTAACTGTCCGCCACAGTTATTTAATGACATCCCTACGGTTAGGTTCTGGGGATAGGGATTCAGTGCGGGATACCGGCACCTTCTTAAACACCTGCATGAAGCACTTTGTGGTGAAAATACCGGCACAGATCTTTCCAAACACACACACAAATACGCACGCACAGGCATGCACACACACACACACACACACACACACACACACACACAAATAAAACCTGCAGTCCACTATGGATTGAGAAGATAACCAAAACATCAATGCATCAAATATAATCAAGAGAATGAAACAAAAATAAATGATTCTGAAGAAAACAGTTAAAACCCATTACTCATCAAAGGAAGGTCAAAGGCCACTTTGTCGCTGAAACCATGAAACAAATGGGATTTAAACCTAAGTAACATCACTGCAACCATCATTTATTGAAGGCCAAACTGACATGTCACGTAAACAATGGAAACACACATTCAAACACAAGAAGGAAGCTGTGAAGTGTGCCACCAAACTTTTCAAAACTCACACATCTACTAAACTAGTAGACGTGAAAATAATGTATGACCACTGCCTGCAGCAAGCACTCTCAGACAGCGTGGACACATTGAGTCCACTAGGGTCCCAAGAGTTTCCTGAGGTACAGCTCGCCATCCCTGAAGCAGAAATGCAGTTAGCTGTGCAACATCTATAGGCAGGGGGTGATTTGTTGACAGCATCCGACCAAAGAAATGCCGGAACTTCTAAAATATGAGAAACGTCAGATGAATACGCTTGTAATGCCATCCGATAGCCCATGTTACTGAATACAGTGATTCACCACACAAGATCATCTTGGGAGCTGGTGTTACTATCTATCGCCTCCAGAGTGGCCTGACCAGCTAGTGCCAAGATTTCATGGTTATGTCTTGGGCCGGTCAAGTTGCCTTGTATGATGTAAGATAGCAGCCTGTCGTTTCAGATCATGACAAAACTGTACCAAAACATCCACCCATCGGATTGTGTCATCAATAATAATTCTCCTGTTCGTCTCCAAACAAGAAGTCTGCCGCCTTTGAATGATACAGTAAAGCGAGATTCATCAGCGAAAAGGATTTGACTCCATTATTTCCTTGTCCATTGTATGCGCTGACGACACCAGGCAACATTGGCTTTGTGATGAACATGGGTAAGCTCGATTCTGAGTGCAGGTGGGAATAGCAGGTCCAGAGTTATGTCAACGTCTGTGAATGGTGTTTTAACTTACATTAACGTTTACAGTTTGTCTCAGCTGGTACCTTAGGGTGAAATAAGTCACAACTTGATTCCGCAGGCTTGACAAGGAGAGATACTGGTCATTAGGTCTACAGGTCTGTCGATTGTTATACGTATTCAAAGTGATGAAAGAACCATTTGTATGTCGATTGTTATACATATTCAAAGTGATGAAAGAACCACATGTCTGACGATTGTTATACATATTCAAAGTGATGAAAGAACCATATGTGGAATTTACTGGAATATTCATAAAAACGTATCCAAACGGAGCTGTTGCACAGAAAGTAAACTAGAACCACGATCACAAATACCCCCAAGATTGTACGATTTTTGCAGAGTTTCACTCGATGAAAGCGATTTGATGATTTCGTTGCAAAATAAATGGCTAAAATGAGACACAGGGATATTGTCATAACGACCAATATTTCGACATTGCTGCCAATCAAAACCTGTTAAAAATAGAAACAATAACAACAATTGATGATTTAGGTTATATTAAAGTAGAAATGCAGGTTTGTAAGTCAATAAGTGTACGGAGAGGCAGAATGAATGTCTGTACGAACAAACGAACGAACGAACAAACTAACAAACGAAACAATAAAGTTTATTTGTAAAGAGTCATGACTTTGGGACAGAGAGTTGTCTTACTGTGGGCCTTTCCAAACTCCCGCCTTTGAAACAGAAATGGTATTTGACCTTTAAAACATGTTATCTATATATTACAAAGTACATTATATATATATATATATATATATATATATATATATATATATATATATATATATATATATATATATATAAATGTGTGTGTGTGTGTGTGTATGTGTGTAAACAACACATAAGTATGGATGATAAATGTATGGATGCATAGAAACATTTATGCATATTTACATACTTACACACACACGCGCGCGCGCACGCACGTATATACATACATACACATTCACACATCTACACATACAAGAATACCTACTTGCACACAAACGCGCACATCATAAACGGGCTTACATGTGTACTGCATTCATCTGGTAATCTGGTAATCTGGTTATCTGGTAATCTTAGTTCCAGCTTCAGAGCAAATGGGCCACCCCATAGTTGCTGCGCTCCTGTTCCAGACAACAATGGGAAAACTGGACAAGGTTCAGAATATGGGATTAAGGATTGCTCTCGGAGCCATGAAAACCACCCCCATCAGAGAGATAGAGAGGATAGCAGATACTGAACCACTCGAACTCAGAAGACAATACAAAACTCTTTTACAGTATTAGAAATTAAAAAGACTTCAAAGTCACCCACTGCATTTTAAATTTCGAGAGAAAACAAAAAACAGACTGAAGCGTCAGAGCCCCAACCACCTAGCTAGAGAACTGTACAGACGACACCAAGATCTGCTTGAAAGAGATGTAGCACTTTGCGAAAAACTTAGGCCAGAAGCATGGACAAGCAAGCCAGAGAAGGCATATGTAGTCCTAGAGGTACCAGAGATCACTTCAAAATATGCCCAGACGGAGACACAACAGAGAACCCTGGCTCTTGCTATGCTTGATGAGAAGTATCGAAACACCACTTGGACTCAGGTTTTCACCGACGGCTCTGCTACAGATGCAGTCAGAAAGGGAGGTTGTGGAATATACATTAAACCAGTTAGCAGTAGAGCAGAAACTCTCTCTCTCTACCAGCAGGTGACATCTGCACTAACTTCAGAGCTGAGGCAACAGCCCTCCTTTCTGCAGTCCAACATCTCATCAATCAAGAACACACAGAATCCAAAAAATTGTTATACTTAGTGACTCATTGTCTGTTCGCCAAGCACTATCAAGCAACAACAAAAAAAAAAAAAACAAGATAAAACTAATTGCAGATCTAAGGACCAACATTGGCTTACTTTCCAAGGAAGCAGAACTGGTCTTGCAGTGTAGACCAGAGCCCACTGTGGTATTCAAGGAAATGAGAGAGTAGATGAGTTGGCAAAAGCTGGGAGTAATCTTCCACAACCTCATCCACCACACAGCTACAAGGAAACCAAAACAGCGATAAAGCAGTCTTTCAAGCGGGAGTGGAGAAGGCAGAATGGAGATTACAGACCAGAGAGTGACAGCATAAACAAACTCAACAGGAAAGAACAAACATCAATTTTTAGACTTCGGACTGGACACTGTGGTCTTCGAGCACACATGTACAGGATAGGCATACAAGAATCTGCTGCCTGTGATTGTGGAGCAGAAAGACAGACCCCTGAGCACAAACTGCAGTACTGCCCTTACCTCTCCCAGCAAAGACTGTGGATCTGGCCCAAGGGAGCCACATTGCAAGAGAAGCTATGGGGAACCGGTGGCGACATTAAAAGCACAATCTTATTTGTGACCTAGACGGGACTCAATGTTTAGCATGACTGATGTCGAACGCAGACGGGACTCAATGTTTAGCATGACTGATGTCGAACGCAGACGGGACTCAATGTTTAGCATGACTGATGTCGAACGCAGAAGAAGAAGAATCGCCGGCAAACCCAGGACAAAACGCATGGCCTTGCAGGAGGTGTCTTTTGTGCAGCCGCGTATGAGTCTCAATGCCTCATTTTGTACTCGGTCCAGTCTTTCTAGCTTGGTTTTGCTGACAGTGAGGAGGCCAAGACCATTCATAAAAATGCATGCACACATACAGAAGATGCATTCATACAAATCACACACAGGCGCACTCATTTATATGTACACTTGCATACACTCTTAGCATCACCCAGTGTGTTGCCTACACATGAATTCACACAGTGGTGTGCAGTTGGACAGTTAGGCAGATTCGTTGATAAGATTGTGAGACAGGCAGACTAACAAATTTACAGATTGTGAGACAGGCAGACTGACAAATAGGCAGATTGTGAGACAGGCAGACTGACAAATAGGCAGATTGTGAGACAGGCAGACTAACAAATTGGCAGTTTGTGAGACAGGCAGACTGACAAATAGGCAGATTGTGAGACAGGCAGACTGACAATTAGGCAGATTGTGAGACAGGCAGACTGACAAATAGGCAGATTGTGAGACAGGCAGACTGAAAAATTGGCAGACTGTGAGACAGGCAGACTGACAAATAGGCATATTGTGAGACAGGCAGACTGACAAATAGGCATATTGTGAGACAGGCAGCATGCATACAGAATGAACAAACAAACAAACAAACAAATGTTATTTTCCAATGGTTACGAACTGGGCATGCAGGTCCGATAACATTCTGCCCCTCCACTCCACTCCACTCCCCTCCACTCCACTCCACTCCACTCCCCTCCACTCACTCCACTCCACTCCTTGCAGACAGTTATTTATTCTGACATCCTTTCACAGTTAATTATAATAATAACAGCAACAAAAACAACAAAAATAACAACTTCAACAACAACCATAATATAAAACATGTTCACAACTGTGATGACCCTGCTTTGCATGGTCTCCACGAGTACATTGTGGCAAGCAGGAAGTCCGTGCTACAAGTGACGGCACGAGATACTTGTGGCCGGTGCAGTAAGCGAGGCGAAGCCCGAGCTAGCCTCGTGGTCAGTCGATCATGAGAAGTCAGAGTAGACGGTTGTAGTATTGGAACTCATCTGTATCCATCTAAAGGGGGAAAGGTGTGTGGGATTCCTTGGAGTTGAATACTCTGTTAAAGGTGATGTAGAGACTGGTGGGGAAACCCTAAAACTCTATTAAAAATCATCCCATTAGTCATCATTTCATCTGAGATTCCTTGGAGTTGAATACTCTGTTAAAGGTGGTTATAGACTTGGAGGAAACTCTAAGATCTATGAAAAACATATCTCAACTATCATTGTTTTCATGTTGGATTCCTTGGGGTTGGGTAATTACCCTGTGAAAGGTGAGACTTTGGTCTATGAAAAAATATCTCAACATGCATTTTTTTTTTCTGTGGTAGATTCCTTGGGGTTGGGTAATTACCCTGTAAAAGGTGTTATAGAGCTTTTGGGAAACTAGAAGCACTATGTTAAATATATCTTACCACTATCATATCGGCTAAGAGTCCTTGGGGTTTAATACCCTGTGAAAAGTGATGTAGAAATATTGGTTAAATCCAATTTTCTGTGTAGTAAATATCTCAAAGCTGATCATCATCATCACTATCATTTCACTTTGAACCTGATAGAGTAGATATAGTGACTAGACAACACTACAGATGCAATAGGTGCAAAGATGGTTTAAACTCTTCACCAGCTCAGTACAGGGGAAGCATGCAGTAAATATTGAAGGCAGTTTTTAAAGGGCAGTAATTGAGGATAATCAGGAACCTTAATCCCTAATGGGAATACAATTAAATTGATTTACTATATCTGGTTAAATGAAAATGACACTTGATGTTCCATAAAGTGTCATTTTGTTAAAAAGGGGGGAGAGTGTGATGACCCTGCTTTGCATGGTCTCCACGAGTACATTGTGGCAAGCAGGAAGTCCGTGCTACAAGTGACGGCACGAGATACTTGTGGCCGGTGCAGTAAGCGAGGCGAAGCTCGAGCTAGCCTCGTGGTCAGTCGATCATGAGAAGTCAGAGTAGACGGTTGTAGTATTGGAAGATGTCGTCTTTATGTCGGGCAAATGGTTAATGTTCGAATGTGTCGCGAGTGAAGTAAATGGCTCAGAATAAACTGACAGATTGTACAATCAAGCTGAGTGGCGTTAGTGTGTGTTGTCAACCCTAGACGTTGAAGTCGGTGTAAACCAAGGTTCATTCCAAGTTGAATCAAGAATCATTCCAAATGAAGCATCGCTTCATTTCAAGATAGTTGAAAGCGTAACTTCAAGTCTACGTCCAGATTCATTTCAAGTCTACGTCAAGGTTCATTCCAACAACACCTAAGTCATGATTACAAACGCTGGAATGTGATCTAATTATACTGACATTACTGAACATTTTTACAAGTATAGTAATCCACAAATGGTATCAGTTTGATAGGCTACATAATATAAACATCATCCACATCAATAAAATATTAGTTATAACGCTGGAACGCAAATTACTGGCATTTAAAATAAATATAACTTTTAGTTACTAAAAACAATGTAAGATAGGCAGAGATTTCATGAGATTGAGCAAATAGTTAAGTACGAACGTTTGTAATGAAATATAGGCAGAGATTTGATGAGATTACATAAATTGTTAAGTACGAATGTATGTAATGAAATATAGGCAGAGATTTCATGAAATTCAGAAAATAGTTAAGTACGAACGTATGTAGGTAGACAAGTAACCAATCAGTAAGGTACCGTCTCCACAAAAAAGATTGCCGGCAATGGATTTCCAACCAACCCATTGTGCTTCTTATCTTGGTTGTACACTCTCTCACAGCGTTGTTCACCCATCTCTTGATAATGTCCTCTCACTTGTATTCTTGTCTACTGATCACTGTCTTGCTGTCCACAGACCACCCCCTTTTCAAGTGTGGAGTTTAAAGAGAGTTTAGTGCCTTTTAATGTGTCCGAAATATTTCATTTGGATCTTATTGTTTTTTATTGCTTTTAAAAACTTTACATTTCCAGTTTTCTTCAGTACCTCTGTATAAGATTGCAAGTATTCAAGTACGCAACAAGCTTGCGATTTATGGATGTAGTTAAGTAGGAGAACATGTAGATAGTCGTTTGGATGAACTAGGAAAAAGGGAGACAATGAGAAAGAAAAGGCAGAAGGCAGGTGAGTGACTGAGTGACTTTCTACCCCACTAGGACATCACACAAGCGATAAACACCCAATGACACAATGTGCCACCATGTGGATGAGGATCACCGTGGAGAGGTCCCAGAAACCGCGTTCAGACATTTGGCCATTTTTATGGCCTGCCCATATTGCGGCCCCTGGCAAAAGCCAGAGTGGGGCTTCAAATAAGAAAAAATTACGTCCTGAAAAGGGCGTAAGTAAGTAGTAACAAGAAGGCAGGTACTGGTATGTTGCAGAAGTACTGGAGAAAATGTATGTTTTTACGGGAAGTAGCAGAAGAAGCAAAGAGAAACTGTTTAGGTTTAAATGAAAAAGAAGACGACACTCACACGGCCACACTCCGCCAGACTTTTGGCTCTGAGAAAGACCTCCATATCCCCTTTGATGACTGACCGAGTATGGCTGCAGTTGCTTCCCCTGCAGACTATAATGTCGTTACGAAGACGACTTTTGGGCGGTGGATGTAAACAATATCCGGGTCCGCTGATTTCCCCAGCACCGATACCACGCCTGTTGAAAAAAAAAGAAGAAAAGAAAAAGATGAAGAACTGGATGACCAAGCCACATGGATGGGGATGGGACAAGAACACTTACATGATCCTTGATTTTGATCAACACGTGAGACAGCAACTTACGCTAATCGCATGACATATCAAGATGATGATGGTGAGAACAAATGAAACAATTTGTGGTCCAGTTCCAATTCCAATTCCTTTTAGGAGAAAAATCAAAAACTCAACCATGTTCAACCTGCTGCTAGCTAGTGGAAGCTAACAGCAGTCTCCGGCTATAGTTGTGGTCCTGTTTATTTGCGCCACTTTCGTGGCTAACGTTCTGGTATTTGCGCCGTCTCTGGGCTTAATGCTTTTCCCCCATATGACAGACTGCCCCCCCCCTCCCCCTATGACAGACTGCTTTTCCCCCCTATGACAGACTGCTTTTCCCCCCATGACAGACTACTTTTCCCCCCTATGACAGACTGCTTTTCCCCCTATGACAGACTGCCATCATGTACAGTTTTAAATTGTGAGCATTCTACTTTGGCGAAAAGTACCGAAAACAATTTTTATGTTTGGATAGACTCAGTATGTAAAAAAATTTCCGCGTGTGACCACAGTAGTCTAATAGTTGTCTTCCTGCAATAAGAACAGGTTAATCATGTCATGAAGATGTGTGTGAAATGTTCGGTGGAGCCTCACAGTCTTTCTATCCATCATTTGTTATAATGTGGTCTGACTGTGTCGGTTTGGATTGGTTGGTAAGCTATGGTGTACGTAAATACCTGGAATACGCATCACGTCACCAGTCTTTACCATCGTACCATTAGGGAAGTGTGGCATTGGTGGTTACGTTCTCTGGTCCTGTCAGTATCGATCCATTTGTCTTCCCTATCTGTTGTCAGTCCTATCATATTGTGAGTCCCACAAGTCGTGTTTATGTTAGATGCTTGATGTGGAATAAGATGACTATAAGTATGAATACCGGCATATGTATGCACACATACACCAGAGCATCCATACACCCACACAACATTACTTGTGTGCACTCTCTTTCACACATATCCATGCATGCACAACCATGTGGATAAATACCTATTTGACAGTTCCTACACTTGCGTTCTCCTTCATACCTGCCTATCAATGTAATATGTCCAACACTTACATTCACGAAAACATGTTCATCCACCCGTAGGGGCATACACACTTCCACATTCTGTCACATGTCTGTATCTACGTTCGTTTTCCACATTAACTAAAGTGATGCTCACACATCACTTCTAAAGGAAAATTGTTTACAGTTGGGTGGTCGACTTATTGCACTGGGCGTAAACCCGCTTGGCTTCCTCTCGCCCCGCTGAACAGATTAACTCATTATCATCGTGTGGCAGGTCCTGTACATAACGTCGCTCTCGTCACAGTCTGTCCGGAAGAAATCCCATCTCTCGCCACCTCTCCCGCCTCATGCACTTCCCTACCCAAGATATACTGTACCCATCTTCGTACTGGACAGCACCTGCTTTTTTTCCTAGTACACTGGCCTTCGTACTATTATTTCCAATCCATCACTTGACTGAGGCTTGAAGTGGCTGAAGTATGCCAATTACCAAGACCACATGCTGTTTACATGCCAATTTTCGTTGATCAATCAGGCTGTCAGGGTGTCATTTCTTTAACGTCCATGGTATCTGGGAATTTTCCTTTCTTTATCAATTATATAAAACAGACTATTTTTACTTCATCATTCAAAACCGATGTTCTCACTGATCACTACACAAGACAGACTATTCTTACTTCATCATTCGACACCTACTTTTTAACAGAATACTTCATAAAACAGACTATTCATACGTCATCCTTCGACCAATGTTCTAACAGTCTACTACATAAAACAGACTATTCTTACTTCATCATTCGACCAATGTTCTAACAGTTTACTACAGAAATAAGACTATTCTTACTTCATCATTCGACCAATGTTCTAACAGTTTACTACATAAAACAGACTATTCTTACTTCAACATTCGACACCGATGAACTAGCAGTTTACTACACAAAACAGACTACTCCTACTTCAACATTCGACACCGATGAACTAGCAGTTTACTACACAAAACAGACTACTCCTACTTCAACATTCGACACCGATGAACTAGCAGTTTACTACACAAAACAGACTACTCCTACTTCAACATTCGACACCGATGAACTAGCAGTTTACTACACAAAACAGACTACTCCTACTTCAACATTCGACACCGATGTTCCGACAGCCGTTGTGCTGCCTGATCGATGTTGTTCACTTCTTTGCTGCTCCACAAACGTTCTGCGGCTGCTGATGCCCGAGGCCTGACAGAGGGAAACAATCAAGTCTACACACGCCAGACTATCGCATTTGTTGTTCAAAATTTTTATTTTTTTATTTTATTTTTTTTATTTATTTTTAGATTTTTTTGTCTTTGTATTCATCCTCTTTAACTTTATTTTCTTCGGTCTCAAACATCGCCCCCTACCCCCCTTACCACAAATTATCGTCTCTCTCATTTTTATCACTTTGCCTCAAATTATTGAATGCAGTGCCTATACTTACGTTTATTAAGCTCTGAAACTTGTAGCTTTTAACTTTTTAACTTCTTTATAGTGGATAGACAAGTTTACTGTTTTTAATCATGGCAGGTTTTTGATTCTGTTAATTGTCCGCCGTTGCATAATCCTCCAGATGTAGACTGGAATGACATATTTGCGTCGCCTATCTGCTTAGCGAAGTGCATAACGTGCCACTGAAAGCTGTGGATTTCATTTGGAGTGCTTTTTGATTCTTCCAAAAGTGGTTTGTTTTGTGAAATCAAGATTCAGAAACTGGTCAGTGCCCTGTTGCTATGTAGTTGGTGGGGCCTTCTACAGTTAACTGCGTTTACAACCCCTAATCTGTTGTAAAAGTGGACTGTTTGTGTTGGCACTTCTGATGACTGCCTTATTTGTTTAACGTGTATATGCTTTTGCATTTTCTGAAACTACAGTTTGTGTAAGCTTGTATTCTCTAAACGGGACTGTAATGGATATTCGTTGTGCTTTACTTAGCACAGAAACGGAGCTACAATTGGGTTACCCGTTTGCTATGAATCTAGAACTGGTATTATTATTTAACTGAAATATTAGGTTCCATAAAGTCAAGCCTACACCATGTACTCTTTTCCCCTCCTCTTTCTATTTCCCTCACACATACACACATTGATTACTTATTCAAGAATCGACATCATAGCACACCGGTTATACCCATAGATGCTCTGTCTCCAGCGGGGAAATGTCTTATGGTGTAAATTGTTCCTATAGCGCACTGATTATACACAAGTCGTTCTCGTCCTGTCATCGGTCCCTCCTTCCCGGATCCACACTTAATTCCTAGTTCACACATTCTTGCCCATGTTGTTTCATCTAATCTCCTGTCTTCTATCAACAGTCATTCATATATGGTCTTCCGAATATCTCCCTTGTCTAGCACAAGTGTTCCCTTCGATTTTGCTGTTGTCGCCAGTAAACCCACTCTTTCGTTCTCTCGCACTCCTACATATCCTGGACAGTATATCCACCTGATTCCCTGTATTGTTTGGTTGTGCTAATGCATGGTATCCACTCATGCCACAATAGTCCCTTTTGCACCTTCTTCAGTGTCGACTGAGAATCAGACACAACAATTCCTCTGTTAACTTTGTTTTCTGCTATCCAAGTCAGAGCTGCATCGATTGTCTCCACTTGCATCCTCATGCTTGAAGTTTAAGATAAAAAAAAGAGGATCCCCAGCCAGATCTTAAATCCCGATGAATAGAACCATCGATGTACATTACTGCATCATCTAGTCCAGCCTTTCCATCTATCAGTTGTAGTACCTCTAATTGTGCCATACAGTTACGCCACTCTCTACATTCTCTTGCTAACGTAATAATGACCTGATGGAAACTGCTGTTGTGGGGGTTCGTGTCAAGCCATTCCTGAGCCCTGAGTATTTGCTTGACTGAGGCATCTGTCTCAAAGGTATCTCCAGCTATTGCCATCCATGACTGTTCCTTTTCAACCGGTCTCCTCTTAAATCATTCAGATTACCATGCAGCGGATGCCTTTTATCATTGGTAACTCACATATAGGCCTTGGCTTGCGCCAGTGACAGCCTTGAGTTTGCAGATGTCAGCCCAAGCATATACCCCACTGCTCTGATTGTTGTATCTCGTGTGCAACCCAGGATGATTCCTATTTCGTCATTTCGAATCCTTTCAAGTTTTGTACAATATGAAGTAGGATTAATATTCCCAGGCATAATCGATTACAAAAAGGACCAAATGTTCGAGCAATCAGACCAATAATCTCTGTTCCATGCGTGTCATCACTATTCGTTTTGACACACGTACGCATGCACAAACGCAGGCACGCACGCACACACACACAACAACAACAACACTCACCTTGTCTTCCATGAAACTACATTAGTACCATTGTCAATAACCACCCCATAGCCTAATGAAAGACGTGAAACGTAAATGGCTCAAAACTCTATAACATGCCAGATAGGAGCAGACAGTTAGCCAGAAAACTCTATAACATGCCAGATAGGAGCAGACAGTTAGCCAGAAAACTCTATAACATGCCAGATAGGAGCAGACAGTTAGCCAGAAAACTCTATAACATGCCAGATAGGAGCAGACAGTTAGCCAGAAAACTCTATAACATGCCAGATAGGAGCAGACAGTTAGCCAGAAAACTCTATAACATACCAGATAGGAGCAGACAGTTAGCCAGAAAACTCTATAACATGCCAGATAGGAGCAGACAGTTAGCCAGAAAACTCTATAACATGCCAGATAGGAGCAGACAGTTAGCCAGAAAACTCTATAACATGCCAGATAGGAGCAGACAGTTAGCCAGCTTGTCAGAAGAATGATCTGAAGACCTCTTCTTACCACATCAAGGGAATAAGGTTCTCATTGGAAAAATATTCGGACCAGAATGCTGCTTCTCCCCCGAGTACTTTCTTCTCATCAATGTTGTATCCTGAAACAAATTCAAGAATTTACATTTGAAGCCCTAGATTTTTTCAGTGTGCTAAACCATACCTTAAACTTAAGTCCTGGATTTTTTTTAAGGGTGCTCATAATATAACTTCAACCTCATTTAAAGCCCTATATTTTAAATGGTGCTTCTAATATAAACCCTACCTCAGACTGAAGCCTGAGATAAGATGGTCATCCAGATAGTTGATTTCACTCAATGTTGAAACACAGTTTGGGTGCGATGTAAAAAAAAAAAAAAAAAAAACGCACACACACACACAAATACATATTATTACTGACATCAATGTTTAAAACAAATGATAATATAAATGTAGATGACTGTGAACAAAACAAAAAAAAAAAAAAAAAAAATCCCCGAAAAATCCCAAAGGCGTTTTGGGACAGAAATTCAAATGAGACCTGATGCTATTTTCGGGACACATGGAATTCTTTACCACAAACCAATTTCTATGCAACCTAATTTATGAGAAATGACCGCTTCTACAAGGGCATTGTCCCGAACACAAGATGAACTATCTTACCATGGGTCTGACTGACGGGGTCACAGCTGTAGAACTTGGTCCATTGGGTTCCGTAGTCAATATGATCCATGTACCAGCAGGTGGAGTAAATAACTTGATATCCCATGGAAGTTGCTTTCAGCACATCGTTGGCGCCTCCCATCCACACTTGAATGATTGTATCGTTTGGAAGCTGACTAAGAGAAAGAAGCATTGGAAAAGAAAGTTTAGTCAGTTTAATTAGACCACATTTCAGCATGTCTTAATAAGAGTTAGGTGTCACTGATAACGTGTATTATTAGCTATGAAATGATGTATGCATGAATAACTGTAAGTAAAGAGATAGACTAAAAGGGCAGTTTATGTTTGATAAGCCTGCTTGCTCGGTTCTTGATCTGCTGAGGTGAAAAAATAAAGTTTGTTCATTCGTTCTCTCTCTCTCTCTCTCTCTCTCTCTCTCTCTCTCTCTCTCTCTCTCTCTCTCTCTCTCTCTCTCTCTCTCTCTCTCTCTCTCTCTCACACACACACACACACGCGCGCGTTTTGATCAAAGTTTGTATCAACCAGTGAAAGAGTAATCATCTGTGAGAGAAATTTCAACTGGGTCGCAGCACTGCATGTAAACTATCACCAGCTCATCCAAACATTGACCAATTATGGTGGGCCTAGGCAGTTATGGTGACTGAGTACCATCGGGATCACTTGAGACATTGTTGTTGTGGTGTGGTATAATCAATGGATCACTTGAGACATTGTTGTTGTGGTGTGGTATAATCAATGGATCACTTGAGACATTGTTGTTGTGGTGTGGTATAATCATTAGATCACTTGAGACATTGTTGTTGTGGTGTGGTATAATCATTGGATCACTTGAGACATTGTTGTTGTGGTGTGGTATAATCATTGGATCACTTGAGACATTGTTGTTGTGGTGTGGTATAATCATTGGATCACTTGAGACATTGTTGTTGTGGTGTGGTATAATCAATGGATCACTTGAGACATTGTTGTTGTGGTGTGGTATAATCAATGGATCACTTGAGACATTGTTGTTGTGGTGTGGTATAATCAATGGATCACTTGAGACATTGTTGTTGTGGTGTGGTATAATCAATGGATCACTTGAGACATTGTTGTTGTGGTGTGGTATAATCAATGGATCACTTGAGACATTGTTGTTGTGGTGTGGTATAATCAATGGATCACTTGGAAATATTATTTTATGACTGAACACTGAACGATTAAATTTATTATTAGGAAGGCTAATCGTCATCATCATCAGGTGCCTTGCCGACGTGCGTAGGCGATCAGGCCTCTCCACAATCTGCGATCTCTTGCAGCATGTATCAGTTCTTGTGCCGACACACCTCTATGCCATGCAACAAGACTGTCAAGCATCTTCTCTCGTTGTCTTCCTCAACCCCTCCTTCCACAGATCTTTCCAGTGGTGACATGTTTTTTTTCCTTTTTCTCATTACATAGCCGAAAAATGATGACTGTCTCCTACTGATGTCTGTGATATGTTGTCTTCGGGGACCCGCCTCTTTCAAAACCTCTTGGTTGCTTTTTTTGGCTGTCCAAGGTATTCTAAGCATTATTCTATAAAACCACATCTCTGAGGCCTCAAGAAATTATTTGGCCTGCCTACCGATTGTCCAGGATCCACAGCCATATGTTAAAACTGGATGTTTGTAGTAAGGAAGAGTTGACGGCCGACGGACTGACTCTCCACCCCACCAGGACATCACACAAGCGACAAACACCCGATGACACAAAGTGCCACCATGCGGATGAGGATCACAGTGGAGAGGTCCCAGAAACCGCGTTAAGACAAATAGCCATATTGATGGCATGCCTATATTGCGGCCCCTGGCAAAAGCCAGAGTGGAGCTTCAAATAACAAAAAATTACGTCCTAAGAAGGACGTAATGGAAGTAAGAGTTGTTTTCCTTACTGTAAATGACAAGGATATATTGCACAATGTGTTTTATACTTTATAAAACTATAAACAAACCAACATATCAACTAACCACCGTACCAATATTCAAATCAACTATTTAACATATTATCTTTCATTTAACCACCTAACAGTCCCATCCATGAATAAGTTTGAGAACCAACAATGAGATCACTTTTCATTCAACCACCTAACAGTCCCATCCATGAATCAGTTTCAGAACCAACAATGAGATCACTCACTTGCAAATTTTTTTTCATCACCTCTTGCCACATAACGTACTTGACCTTCTTCTGTTTCCTCTGACCTATCTCACTTGTGATATTGATCAACCTGAAACACATCAAACGGTCACAAATATAGAACTTAATTTACAAATATTGATCAAGATGAAAATAATCAAACAGTAATACATGAGCACTGCTAGATAAATGTTGATGTCCTGCTGGATAGTTCACCCATCTAAATGTAGATGTCATGATGGATAGTTCACCCATCTAAATGTCGATGTCATGGTGGATAGTTCCCTCATCTAAATGTTGATGTCATGTTGGATAGTTCACCCATCTAAATGTTGATGTCATGTTGGATAGTTCACCCATCTAAATGTTGACGTCATGTTGGATAGTTCACCCATCTAAATGTCGATGTCATGGTGGATAGTTTCCTCATCTAAATGTTGATGTCATGTTGGATAGTTCCCTCATCTAAATGTTGATGTCATGTTGGATAGTTCACCCATCTAAATGTCGATGTCATGGTGGATAGTTCACCCACCTAAATGTCGATGTCATGGTGAATAGTTCACCCATCTAAATGTCAATGTCATGCTGGATAGTTCCCTCATCTAAATGTCGATGTCATACTGGATAGTTCACCAATCTAATGTCGATGTCATGGTTGATAGTTCACCCATCTAAATGTCGATGTCATGGTGGATAGTTCACCCATCTAAATGTCGATGTCATGGTGAATAGTTCACCCATCTAAATGTCGATGTCATGGTGGATAGTTCACCCATCTAAATGTTGATGTCCTGCTGGATAGTTCACCAATCTAATGTTGATGTCATGGTGGATAGTTCCCTCATCTAAATGTTGATGTCATGGTGGATAGTTCACCCATCTAAATGTCGATGTCATGGTGGATAGTTCCCTCATCTAAATGTCGATGTCATGTTGGATAGTTCACCCATCTAAATGTTGAGGTCATGGTGGATACTTAACCCATCTAATGTTGTTGTCATGCTGCATAGTTCACCCATCTAAATGTCGATGTCATGCTGCATAGTACACCCATCTAAATGTCGATGTCATGCTGGATAGTTCCATCATCTGAATTTCGATGCCATGCTGCATAGTTCACCCATCTAAATGTTGAGGTCATGCTGGATAGTTCCATCATCTAAATTTCGATGTCATGCTGCATAGTTCATCCTTCTAAATGTCGATGTCATGCTGGATAGTTCCATCATCTAAATGTCGATGTCATGATGGATAGTTCACCCATCTAAATTTCGATGTCATGCTGGATAGTTCTATCATCTAAATTTCTATGACATGCTGCATAGTTCACCCTTCTAAATATCGATGTCATGCTGGATAGTTCACCCATCTTAATGTTGATGTCATGGTGGATAGTTCCATCATCTAAATGTCGATGTCATGCTGGATAGTTCACCCATCTAAATGTTGATGTCATGCTGGATAGTTCATCCATCTAAATGTCGATGTCATGCTGGATAGTTCACCCATCTAAATGTTGATGTCATGCTGGATAGTTCCATCATCTAAATTTCGATGCCATGCTGCATAGTTCACCCGTCTAAATGTCGATGTCATGCTGGATAGTTCCATCATCTAAATGTCGATGTCATGCTGCATAGTTCACCCATCTAAATTCCGATGTCATGCTAGATAGTTCCCCCATCTAAATGTTGATGTCATGCGGAATAGTTCCTACATCTAAATGTTGATGTCATGCTGGATAGTTCACCCATCTAAGTGTCGATGTCATGCTGGATAGTTCACCCATCTAAATGTTGATGTCATGCTGGATAGTTCACCCATCTAAATGTTGATGTCATGCTGGATAGTTCACCCATCTAAATGTTGATGTCGTGCTATATAGTTCACCCATCTAAATGTTGATGTCATGCTAGATAGTTCACCCATCTAAATGTCGATGTCATGCTGCATAGTTCACCCATCTAAATTTCGATGTCATGCTGGATAGTTCCATCATCTAAATTTCAATGTCATGCTGGATAGTTCCCCCATCTAAATGTTGATGTCATGCGGAAATGTTCCTTCATCTAAATGTCGATGTCATGCTGGATAGTTCACCCATCTAAATGTTGATGTCATGCTGGATAGTTCACCCATCTAAATGTCGATGTCATGCTGGATAGCGCCTCTATCTAAATGTCGATGTCATACTAGATAGTTTCCACTTCTAGATGTCAATATCATTCTCAATAGTTCACCCATGTAATTTCATTGTCCTTCTCAATAGTTCACCCACGTAATTTCAAATGTAATTTTGGATAGTTCACCCATCTAAATGTCGATGTCATGGTGGATAGTTCACCCATCTAAATGTCGATGTCATGGTGGATAGTTCACCCATCTAAATGTTGATGTCCTGCTGGATAGTTCACCAATCTAATGTCGATGTCATGGTGGATAGTTCCCTCATCTAAATGTTGATGTCATGGTGGATAGTTCACCCATCTAAATGTCGATGTCATGGTGGATAGTTTACCCATCTAAATGTCGATGTCATGGTGGATAGTTCACCCATCTAAATGTCGATGTCATGGTGGATAGTTCACCCATCTAAATGTTGATGTCCTGCTGGATAGTTCACCAATCTAATGTCGATGTCATGGTGGATAGTTCCCTCATCTAAATGTTGATGATTGTTTCCTGATTGCCGGTTTCAACATGTACTAATACCAGGTACAATTTGTTAGTATGATATTGATGTGTGATCCGAGAGATAAGAGAGGAGTGAATCACCGTGTGAGAGAGTTGGCCAGGTCATCAGAAATCAGCCATGCATAGCGACCACGAGGATGAAAGAATGCGCTAAGTCAGTGAGATGTTTGTATCAGCGAATAAAGGACAATAACTGAACGTTCGTCCTCTGGTGTGTCCTAGCAACTAAGTGTACGTCATTACAGCAATGTGGTGTGTAGAATCAAACCCCTAGCAGAGCACATTGCAGATGCCTAAGAAGAATGCTGGGCATTAAGTGGTAGGACAAGATCAAAAACAGCTATTACAATTCTTCTCAGTGCTCTACGAAGGCTTAGGCGGCAGATCAGACCTGGAGAATTGAGGATGGCAGAGTTCCTAAAGACATCCTATATGGTGTTTAAAGACAGGTAGGAGATGTCGAGGCCGGCCTCTCATCATCATCATCAAGTGCCTTGCTGACTGGCGTGGGCGATCATGCCACTCCATAATCTGCGATCTCCTGCAGCATGTATCAGTTCGTGTCCCGACACACCTCCATGCCATGCAACAAGACTGTCAAGCATCTTCTCTCGTTGTCTTCCTCTATCCCTCCTTCCACAGATCTTTCCAGTGGTCACAACATGTTCTATTTTCCCTCTTCTCATAACATGGCCGAAAAATTATGACTCTCTCCTTCTGATGTCTGTGATAAGTTGTCTTCGGGCTCCCGCCTCTTTCAAAACCTTTTGGTTGCTCTTTTTGGCTGTCCAAGGTATTCTAAGCATTCTTTTGTAAAACCACATCTCTGAGGCCTCTAAAACTTGTTTGGCCTGCCTACCGATTGTCCAGGATTCACAGCCATATGTTAAAACTGGATTTATGTAGCAAGCAAGAATTCTTTTTCTAACTCTTAATGACAAGGATATATTGCACAAGATGTTTTTCATTTTATAAAATGCAGTTTTTGCCTGTCCTATTCTGTTTCTTATCTCAGTTATGCATCTTTCATCTGATGTTATCCATGTGCCCAGATACTTAAATTTCTGTACTTGTCCTAAAATAACACCATTGACTTTTATTACACATTTAGGAATAATTTGTTACTTTGATACTACCATTACTTCTGTCTTTCCATTATTCAAACTGAGGCCCATTCTTCCACTTTCTAACACCACAATGTCTATCATTTCCTGTAATTCTTTCTGACTTGTTGCTACCAAGACTGTGTCATCAGCATAACGTAAATTGTTTATATTGTGCCCACCAACCACAATTCCGGGCATATCAATTAAAGATCTCATTTCATATTCACTGTGTATTGAAAACAAATCAGGTGACAGTACCCATCCTTGTCGTACGCCCCTCTTTATGCTTTGAAATGTACCTAAACAGTTGTTTATTCTTATAGCTGCTGTTTGCTGCTAATACATATTCTTTATTATTCGTAGATCTTTCCCATCAATGTTTAATTTTTCTAACAGTTTGATTACTTCTTCATGCTTCACACAGTCAAATGCTTTTGTATAGTCTATAAAGCATAAGTACAAATCAGTCTTTACTTCTATAGCTCTTTCTGACAATGTTCTTAGGATGTAAATGACATTGTTTGTACCTTTTCCTTCTACAAATCCACATTGTTCATCGCTGATTTCTGGTTTAATTTTGATTCTTATTCTTCTCATAATTATTCTGAGTAAAATCTGAGTCATGTGACTCATCAGACTTATTGTGCGATGGTCTTCACATGGCCGACCTCTACTGTGATATAAAGATGTGTGCAAGCCGGACATGAATGATACAGGTATTAAGTTAGACCCGTGGGAAAGAAATCCAATGGGCTATGTTGTGTAGAGAGGGAACATCAGGAAAGGAATGAGAATGAAGGAAGAAATATTGCAGAAAGGATGAGAGCTGAGCGTCTCAGAAGAAACAGACTAAACACACACGTTGACAACAATGTTCCTGAAATTCTATGCTATAAATTTGGAAGACTTTTCTTAATGTTAGGGGGTCTTGCTAGTCACACTCGCCATCGCCATGGGCTGTTAGTCCCATGCCTCCTCATAGTGCATTATAAAACTATCGTCTGGAGAGACGGAAATGAGCCAATCATCACTACTTAAGCCTGTCAACTTGATTCAGATGTGTACTTTTTACTTTTATGTAAAGCTCTGCAAACATAGACTTGCAAACATAGATTTATTGTAATTAGCATTACTTCTACTCCCACCCCGCACCCATTTTCCCCTTTTCCCCCTTTTATAACAAAAACCTTTGTTTTGCCTTACTGCCTGCAGAAATCAGTTGAAAGACATATCATGACTCAAGTGACGACAGCCTGTAGCACCATCTACAGCTGGCGAAAAGAAAGACAGATCACTACTCACGTGACGACAGCCTATAGCACCGTCTACAGCTGGCGAAAAGAAAGACAGATCACTACTCGTGTGACGACAGCCTATAGCAACATCTACAGCTGGCGAAAAGAAAGACAGATCACTACTCGTGTGACGACAGTCTATAGCAACATCTACAGCTGGCGAAAAGAAAGACAGATCACTACTCACGTGACGACAGCCTATAGCACCATCTACAGCTGGCGAAAAGAAAGACAGATCACTACTCGTGTGACGACAGGCTGCCATCTACAGCTGGCGAAAAGAAAGACAGATCACTACTCATGTGACGACAGGCTGCCATCTACAGCTGGCGAAAAGAAAGACAGATCACTACTCACGTGACGAGAGCCTATAGCACCATCTACAGCTGGCGAAAAGAAAGACAGATCACTACTCATGTGACGACAGCCTATAGCACCATCTACAGCTGGCGAAAAAAAAGACAGATCAATACTCATGTGACGACAGCCTATAGCACCATCTACAGCTGGCGAAAAGAAAGACAGATCACTACTCACGTGACGACAGGCTGCCATCTACAGCTGGCGAAAAGAAAGACAGATCACTACTCATGTGACGACAGCCTATAGCACCATCTACAGCTGGCGAAAAGAAAGACAGATCACTACTCATGTGACGACAGGCTGCCATCTACAGCTGGCGAAAAGAAAGACAGATCACTACTCACGTGACGAGAGCCTATAGCACCATCTACAGCTGGCGAAAAGAAAGACAGATCACTACTCATGTGACGACAGCCTATAGCACCATCTACAGCTGGCGAAAAGAAAGACAGATCAATACTCATGTGACGACAGCCTATAGCACCATCTACAGCTGGCGAAAAGAAAGACAGATCACTACTCACGTGACGACAGGCTGCCATCTACAGCTGGCGAAAAGAAAGACAGATCACGACTCATGTGACGACAGGCTGCCATCTACAGCTGGCGAAAAGAAAGACAGATCACTACTCACGTGACGACAGGCTGCCATCTACAGCTGGCGAAAAGAAAGACAGATCACTACTCATGTGACGACAGCCTATAGCACCATCTACAGCTGGCGAAAAGAAAGACAGATCACTACTCACGTGACGAGAGCCTATAGCAACATCTACAGCTGGCGAAAAGAAAGACAGATTATGACTCAAGTGATGACAGCCTACAGTACCATCTACAGCTGGCGAAAATGACTTGAAACTGACTTTTATTGTTGCTGTTAGCATTTAGTATGAACTTGTACTTAATGAAAGTTACAGGCAGACTGGAGTCATACCTGATGAAAGTTACTGCAAGACTAGAGTCATGTCTGATGAAAGTTACAGCAAGACTGGAGTCATACCTGATGAAAGTTACTGCAAGACTGGAGTCATACCTGATGAAAGTTACTGCAAGACTGGAGTCATACCTGATGAAAGTTTCAGCAAGACTAGAGTCATACCTGATGAAAGTTTCAGCAAGACTGGAGTCATACCTGATGAAAGTTACAGCAAGACGAGAGTCATACCTGATGAAAGTTACAGCATGACTGGAGTCATACCTGATTAAAGTTACAGCAAGACTGGAGTCACACTTGATGAAAGTTACAGCAAGACTGGAGTCATACCTGATGAAAGTTACAGCAAGACTAGAGTCATAACTGATGAAAGTTACAGCAAGACTAGAGTCATATCTGATGAAAGTTTCAGCAAGACTGGAGTCATACCTGAGGAAAGTTACAGCAAGACTGGAGTCATACCTGATGAAAGTTACAGCAAGACTGGACTCATACCTGATGAAAGTTACAGCAAGACTAGAGTCATAACCGATGAAAGTTACAGCAAGACTAGAGTCATACCTGATGTAAGTTACAGCAAGACTGGAGTCATACCTGAGGAAAGTTACAGCAAGACTGGAGTCATACCTGATGTAAGTTACAGCAAGACTGGAGTCATACCTGATGAAAGTTACAGCAAGACTAGAGTTATACCTGATGTAAGTTACAGCAAGACTAGAGTCATGCCTGATGTAAGTTACAGCAAAACTAGAGTTATACCTGATGTAAGTTACAGCAAGACTAGAGTCATACCTGATGAAAGTTACAGCAAGACTAGAGTTATACCTGATGTAAGTTACAGCAAGACTAGAGTCATACCTGATGTAAGTTACAGCAAGACTAGAGTCATACCTGATGTAAGTTACAGCAAGACTAGAGTTATACCTGATGTAAGTTACAGCAAGACTGGAGTCATACCTGAGGAAAGTTACAGCAAGACTAGAGTTATACCTGATGTAAGTTACAGCAAGACTAGAGTCATACCTGATGTAAGTTACAGCAAGACTAGAGTTATACCTGATGTAAGTTACAGCAAGACTAGAGTTATACCTGATGTAAGTTACAGCAAGACTGGAGTCATACCTGATGAAAGTTACAGCAAGACTAGAGTCATACCTGATGAAAGTTACAGCAAGACTAGAGTCCTAACTGATGAAAGTTACAGCAAGACTGGAGTCATACCTCATGAAAGTTACAGCAAGACTAGAGTCATACCTGATGAAAGTTACAGGAAGACTGGAGTCATACCTGATGTAAGTTACAGCAAGACTAGAGTCATACCTGATGTAAGTTACAGCAAGACTAGAGTCATACCTGATGTAAGTTACAGCAAGATTAGAGTTATACCTGATGAAAGTTACAGCAAGACTGGAGTCATACATGATGAAAGTTACAGCAAGACTGGAGTCATATCTCATGAATGTTACAGGAAGACTAGAGTCATACCTGATGAAAGTTACAGCAAGACTGGAGTTATACCTCATGAAAGTTACAGCAAGGCTAGAGTCATACCTGATGCAAGTTACAGCAAGACTGGAGTCATACCTAATGAAAGTTTCAGCAAGACTGGAGTCATACCTGATGAAAGTTACAGCAAGACTGGAGTCATACCTAATGAAAGTTACAGCAAGACTAGAGTCACTGTCTGACATACCTATTCTCTTGATGTCTTCCGACCAGGAGTTTCCTGCAGACTGATGTCCTGGCAAATAGGGCTGGTTGGCTAGATACTTGGCAAAGTTCATCACTTCAGGGTTTGACTGCCTGTAGACAAACAGAATCAGGTTATCCAGAAGTCTGATCCATAGATGGATTCCAATCTGCTAGTAGGCGATGCTTACATAAGTAGCGATATTATATGTTGTGCGCAAGAAATGTCAGCCAGCTCCAATCCCTAACAAGAAAACACACACACACACACAAATTACAGGAATTTCTTCTTTCATGGTGATCGACACAAACCATGGTGTGGCCAGTTTAGTAGTGATAACACTAGTCATTCTGCAATACATCCTGGCAGCCAAGGACCCCCTTCACCAATCACAGACGGTCCCAGAACGTCATCAACACGGGTTCTTGGGGTGTAGCGGTTAGTACCCCCCCCCCCCACCCCCGCCCACCCCTAAACCACTCCACCTCGTCTCCTGTAAGTCTAGATGCTTCCCCTGCCGCCTCCAAGGTCATGAGGTCCAATGCCCAGTGAGTCAAATTTTGTTTCCATAAATGAAGCTAACTCCCATATCAACCCAGGCTAAAGAAGGTGCTGGGTAAAGTCCTGGGAAGTAAAGGCTACTGGCGTGTTACAAACAATGTCAGTCATTGGGGGTCGATAGGTCTTTACACTGGTAGAGGGGGCACGTTACATTTGACTCGACTCGAACAATAAAAGTATGAACGGATTGGCCTGCAATCTAGCTGCATCACTTTATTACTCATTGAATCGACTTGCTTGTAGTTTGGGAGTTAAACAAAAAGGGGAAAGGGGTGGGGGGAGTTATCTTCTATCTACCTACCATTACTTAGAGTTTTTGTCTCCACTGCTTGCACTAAGAAGTTTGTTTTTTTCATCTTTTTCTGCCTGTATCTATTCTCCGTTGTAGGGTTTTCGTCCTATATAATTTTTACACATGCTGCTGTATGTTATTCTTTTTTATTTTGAAGATGTTCTATTTATTTTTCTATCTTTCCCGCACTATCTCTAGAGTAGACATTTCTGTCGATGAATAAATAGGATTGTCCGACAAGTTTTTCTCTCCTGACTGCTTCCGGAAGCTGTCATCACCCCTGCAGCTACCATGTAGGTGAGTCACACAGTTCTTCTACGTCTCATTGGTATTTGTTAAGGAACCACAGAAATATTTTACCTCGCTTTGGGGGTTTTTTTCCCGCCACCTTTTCTTGGCCCCTTCACGTTATATAAACATCACCGCCATCATCATCATTATCAACAACAACAACAACCATCTATGTGTCTTTTTCCACTACTGTGTATCCAGGTCTTTAAATGTGAAAAAAAAACCTTTGTTGTTGAATGGTGTCTACCTCAGTCTGAGTGGCAAGGAACCAGCAGCCTGCATACAAGAAATGTCAGGCAATTTACAATAAGACAGACTCAATTACTTGAACAATATCAAAGCCCTGATATGGACGCCAGCAAAGACTTTATACCAAAGTGCACAACCGGCAAACGCGAAAGAAGTAAAACAAACTTCTTTACTATTTCATTACTTATTATTTTTTATGAAAGAACAACAAGGACAGATTAAAAAGCTGATGTCTTAAGAAAAATAAACTTAATTACAAACATTACAAGAAATCATTATGAGTTCCTCGGTCACATTTGAAAATGGTAAAATGGTAGAGTCTGTACTGGCTGGGGAAAAATGGTAGAATCTGTACTGGCAAAGGGAAAAATGGTAGAGTCTGTACTGGCAAAGGGTAAAAAGGTAGAGTCTGCACTGGCAGAGGGAAAAATTGTAGATTCGGTACTGGCAAAGGGGAAAACGGCAGAGTCTGTACTGCCAAAGGGGAAAATGGCAGAGTCTATACTGACAAGAAGGAATTTTGAATGACAAAGAAGCAGAGGAGAGCCAAGGAAAGAAATTGTAGGGCAGTCTGGTATAATAACATGCAACAACACATGTACCAGGGATACATGTAACAAAACCTGCACCAGGGAAACACGTAACAACACCTGTATCAGAGATAAATGTAACAACACCTGTATCAGAGATAAATGTAACAACACCTGTACCAGGGATACATGCAACAACACTTGAACCAGAGATACACGTAACAACACCTGCATCAGAGATACACGTAACAACACCTGCATCAGAGATACATGTAACAACACCTGCATCAGAGATACACGTAACAACACCTGCATCAGAGATACACGTAACAACACCTGCATCAGAGATACATGTAACAACACCTGTACCAGGGATACATGTAACAACACCTGTATCAGAGATACATGTAACAACACCTGCATCAGAGATACACGTAACAACACCTGCATCAGAGATATATGTAACAACACCTGCATCAGAGATACATGTAACAACACCTGCATCAGAGATACACGTAACAACACCTGCATCAGAGATATATGTAACAACACCTGCATCAGAGATACATGTAACAACACCTGCATCAGAGATACACGTAACAACACCTGCATCAGAGATACACGTAACAACACCTGCATCAGAGATACATGTAACAACACCTGTACCAGGGATACATGTAACAACACTTGAACCAGAGATACACGTAACAACACCTGCATCAGAGATACACGTAACAACACCTGCATCAGAGATACACGTAACAACACCTGCATCAGAGATACACGTAACAACACCTGTATCAGGGATACATGTAACAACACTTGTACCAGGGATACATGTAACAACACTTGAACCAGAGATACACGTAACAACACCTGCATCAGAGATACATGTAACAACACCTGTACCAGGGATACATGTAACAACACTTGAACCAGAGATACACGTAACAACACCTGCATCAGAGATACATGTAACAACACCTGTACCAGGGATACATGTAACAACACTTGAACCAGAGATACACGTAACAACACCTGCATCAGAGATACATGTAACAACACTTGTACCAGGGATACATGTAACAACACTTGAACCAGAGATACACGTAACAACACCTGCATCAGAGATACATGTAACAACACCTGCATCAGAGATACATGTAACAACACCTGCATCAGAGATACATGTAACAACACCTGTACCAGAGATACATGCAACAACACTTGAACCAGAGATACACGTAACAACACCTGCATCAGAGATACACGTAACAACACCTGCATCAGAGATACACGTAACAACACCTGCATCAGAGATACACGTAACAACACCTGCATCAGAGATACACGTAACAACACCTGCATCAGAGATACACGTAACAACACCTGCATCAGAGATACACGTAACAACACCTGCATCAGAGATACACGTAACAACACCTGCATCAGAGATACACGTAACAACACCTGCATCAGAGATACACGTAACAACACCTGCATCAGAGATACACGTAACAACACCTGCATCAGAGATACACGTAACAACACCTGCATCAGAGATAAATGTAACAACACCTGCATCAGAGATACACGTAACAACACCTGCATCAGAGATAAATGTAACAACACCTGCATCAGAGATACACGTAACAACACCTGCATCAGAGATACACGTAACAACACCTGCATCAGAGATACACGTAACAACACCTGCATCAGAGATACACGTAACAACACCTGCATCAGAGATAAATGTAACAACACCTGCATCAGAGATACACGTAACAACACCTGTATCAGAGATAAATGTAACAACACCTGCATCAGAGATACACGTAACAACACCTGCATCAGAGATACATGTAACAACACCTGCATCAGAGATACATGTAACAACACCTGCATCAGAGATACATGTAACAACACCTGCATCAGAGATACATGTAACAACACCTGCATCAGAGATACACGTAACAACACCTGCATCAGAGATACACGTAACAACACCTGCATCAGAGATATATGTAACAACACCTGCATCAGAGATACACGTAACAACACCTGCATCAGAGATACACGTAACAACACCTGCATCAGAGATACATGTAACAACACCTGCATCAGAGATACACGTAACAACACCTGCATCAGAGATACACGTAACAACACCTGCATCAGAGATACATGTAACAACACCTGCATCAGAGATACACGTAAAAACACCTGCATCAGAGATACACGTAACAACACCTGCATCAGAGATACACGTAACAACACCTGCATCAGAGATAAATGTAACAACACCTGCATCAGAGATACATGTAACAACACCTGCATCAGAGATACACGTAACAACACCTGCATCAGAGATACACGTAACAACACCTGCATCAGAGATACACGTAACAACACCTGCATCAGAGATACACGTAACAACACCTGCATCAGAGATACACGTAACAACACCTGCATCAGAGATACATGTAACAACACCTGCATCAGAGATACACGTAACAACACCTGCATCAGAGATACACGTAACAACACCTGCATCAGAGATACACGTAACAACACCTGAATCAGAGATAATGTAACAACACCTGAATCAGAAATACATGTAACAACACCTGCATCAGAGATGCACGTAACAACACCTGCATCAGAGATATATGTAACAACATCTGAATCAGAGATACATGTAACAACACCTGCATCAGAGATACATGTAACAACACCTGCATGAGAGATACACGTAACAACACCTGCATCAGAGATACATGTAACAACACCTGCATCAGAGATATATGTAACAACATCTGAATCAGAGATATAGGTAACAACACATGTACCAGAGATACATGTAACAACACCTGTATCATAAATACATGTACCAACACCTGAATCAGAAATACATGTAACAACACCTGTATCATAAATACATGTACCAACACCTGTATCAGAGATAATTTATAGAAATCGAGACAGATGGCTGTGCAATGTCGTGATGACAGTGGCATATTTTAAAAAGAAAAATAATTTCTATAAAACTTTCCAGAAGCTGGAATGAACTATACAAATCTGTGAATATGCAACCATCTGGTAAAAGTTGTTACAGTTTGGCATTGAATTAATGAGCATACGGTCGTAAAAAAATGATGTTTACAAACATCTAGTTTACATTTTGCCTTTGTGATATATTTAAAAAAAAAAAAAGGTAACTGAGTAACGGGACTTTTTCTAAACTGCACGTGTTTCATAACTTCATAGGCATTTCACTTTTAGATGGTTATCTCTAGCTTGCCTTCCGTGAGTTGCACGAACGCAGTTTTTCCTTGTGTGTAAGACATAATTTCAAAACAATCATCACGCATCAACTGTCTACCTTGGAAATGATTTTCACACAATCTCCTGCAAACAATCGACGTGTGTATGCAGGTTTTTTTAAAATTCAATTTTGGGGGGGGGGGGGGGGGCAAATTACAAGTCCCTCAAAGATCAAAGAAATTCACCGCTTTAAGAAAAAACACATTACCTGTGCAAGATTTATTTCTAAAATCATAAGAACACGGAAAATAAAAGGTCGCATGCAAAAATGAGTATTGATCAATACAGGAGTTTTCGTGATATTTGTTTAAATGTGATTTTGAAATGCACTATACAATATCTCTCTGCCTGGGTTGTTGAGTCATGTTTTGGGGACAAATAATGATAGACCCACTGCCTCGAAGCAAGCATGTCGTAAAACACGTTAAATAAGAACTTGCTGGCATCAGATATGTTTGGTCGAAAGGCGCAGATATCGCAACCTACCTGTAGACCACACAATTTTCCAACCACCCTTTAGAGGTAGACAAAGAAGAATGACTGCATCTTAACTGAAAAAAGCTGAGACACACGTACCAGCATCCCAGCGGCACCTCATCCCCACCCAGGTGGAAGTACTCATCCTTGAAGACATCAATAATCTCCTCAAACAAGGACTCCAGGAATCGATAACTGGAGTTTGTGCTAGGATCAATCGGACCCAAGTAATCTTTCACTGGGTTACTTCCGGAGTAGCACTGGGTCAAAAGTTCAGGTCTACTAAATCCCCATGCGTATGTATGACCTGAAGACGAAAGAAAAGTTAAGTAGGTTTTTTTTTTTAATGACCACAGTCTAGGGGGAATCGCGGTGGCAGAGCTGCTAGACGCTCACCGCGGATCAGAAGGTCGAGGTTTAGATCCCTGGCGGAGCCGGACATTCTTTCATAAAATGACCTTAGTTCCCTGGTCGACCCAGCCTTGAGTGGGTAACGGCTGCATCCCGGGAACGTAAAGGCGGCCGGCGTGATGCTGACCACATCACCCATTTGTGTGCCGATCGGTCTATAAAATATAGGTCTAGCCCTATATGCCCTTTACGTCTAAAGGCGTGGAAAAGAATCCCTTACTTACTTGTTACCACAGTCTAGACCTTGAATAAACTTGTAAGCTAATTATATGTGCTCAAGTTGAGCCAAATAAAAAACCGATATTACAGTACTGGGTGTCTTCGCATATGCGCTCTGTTCCTATCTGCAGCAGCCAGCGAAAAAGTTCCGTGTCCAATGGTACGAACAGCAGATTTGGTAACATGTGAGTCTTGCTTGGGTGTGAGGTGTCGGCCAAATCCCACCCCTCCCCCCCCTTACCCCTTTTTTGTTTTACTTTAAAGAACATTTATAAGTTTGCGGCCTTTACTTTCAAGAACAATACCCATGTATGCTTCTTCTTCTCTTCCACCTTGTACCTCATCGAAGTGTCGGGAGGATACCCATATATGCTGGTTCGAATGTGGAACTCAGATCAGATTGAAACTGTTGCTGTCTGGCGATGAATTCAACTACATAACCAACCGCTAGAGTCCCACATCTGCTGTATCAAATACGGAGAGCATTGGCCACTGCAGACACTATTCAGTGGGACTTGGTACTCTCTGCTTTTTGCTGAAGATGGGAACTGGGCGCTTATGGCCCCCTTCATATTCTTCAGAGTCTTCTTTCTTTTCTTCTTTCTTGCATGCAGGAGCAGGAGCAGCTGCTTTGTCTGCTGGGGCAGACACTAGCAGCACTAGCTGCTACACCACCACCTGATGGGACTAAGGCCAAATTCTTTGAGCCTTCAGCTATCAGTTCAAGATTCTCTTCCTTGAGTTCACTGATGATCTTGTTGATTTTGCCATTTTTAGATTCAAAGCCCACACTTCCCACCATGCCCATATTTTCTTTACGGACTACACTTCCCATAATGCCCAAACTTCGCACAATGCCCACACTTGCCACAATGCCCACACTTCCCACAATGCTCAAACTTCCCACAATGCCCACACTTCCAACCATTTTCTCAATGTCTGCTGCAGCTGGTAATGCTCTGTCCCCCCCCCCCCCCCCCCCTTTTCCGGGAAGAGAAAAAGTAAGCGGCAACGTAACGCATTTTTCCGAATTTAAGTTTAAATGATGATACCCATTTTGGTCCCTGGTGAAAACTCTGAGATAATTAACTGGACATGTACTGACCTGTGAATCGCCAGAGCACGATAGGGAAGTAAAACTGGGTCAGCATGCCTGGGTAGAGGGAGGAGTTGACACCAGTACCAGTGAGAGAAAAGAAACGTTACTAGGTCAGTATGCCTGAGTAGAGGCATACTGGGGCGTGGCTTAGATCTTCCCTAGTAGAACCTAGAAGGGGGAGGAGTTTAACCTTTGAGACAGCGTGCACGTTTTAAACGTTGTGCGTGTTCAGCACATAAACTGCGCTACATGTTTACATCGAATCAATGTCAGCCAGTTGGAAGTCTGAGTGATGACGAACAACAGACTTAGAAAGTCAACTATCACGACAAAACAGGAGAGGGAAGTCAGGATATGTGACGTCCATGTAAGGCAAAAGACCTTCAGACTAGACTGGAGCGAATGTGGAATATGAGGAGGAGTGATGGGATATATTTTATTATTATATGTTATATTAATTGATACATGTATTCTTAGTGTAAGTCAAGATACTACACGTATGTGTTTGTTTCCATGATTACAGCGCCCATGTGACGATCAATCCATGAACGAGACTACATTGTGTTAGACTCGGCCAGCTGGGAACGAGGCGGAGAACGAGGTGGAGAATGAGGTCGAAAATAAGCCGAAACAGGCGGAGAACAGACGGGGAAGAAGCTGGAAGAGGAGGAAGAGCTTGACAGTGCTCACGGCTGTTAGAGGTTCTATGATAACAAAGTTATGTCATAAATTGTTCATACTTTATCCACTTCATCACACCACTCTAATCCCAGGAGCTGTTTTCTCGCTGAAGCATCTCATCACTATCATAACATTAACCAGTCACTGTTTGTGTAAACACAACAAACTGGAGAATGTCATTTAACTTGTTTGTTAGTAAATAAAGCTGTATGTCAAGTTTTATACTACATCGTTTGTTAAATTCCAAGTGTATTCAGTCTTACCTGTTTAACTAAACTGATAGATAGAATTACATTTGGTGGGAGCTCATTAAATAATAATAATAATTCTTTAATTATTAATACCGGGAGAAGGTGGTTACGGAAGGGGGGGGGGGGGGGGGTCATTTGCCCTGTCTAATAATTCATTCAATATAATGAGAGACATCAAAAACCCCTTTCCTTCTCTTGTGAGTACCAAGTGCAGCCAATGTTTAATGTAATTAACGAGCCAATATGGCTGTTTTCTTAGATATCCAGGACTTTGTCTGAGAGCAACATAGCCCGGATAATAGTCTAGTTAATCTGGTGGAGGCCATTTGTTGAGAGGAAAATCACTACTCAACGTATAAAACATTAAATCCACGTACATCGCGTCACAAGTATGCCTGGGTAGAGGGAGAAGTTGACACCAGTACCAGTGAGAGAAAACAAACTTGACTGGGTCAATATGCCCAGATAGAGGGAGGAGTTGACACCAGTACCAGTGAGAGAAAGAAAACTTGACTAGGTCAGTATGCCTGGATAGAGGGAGGAGTTGACACAAGTACCAGTGAGAGAAAGGAAACTTGACTGGGTCAATATGCCTGGGTAGAGGGAGGGGTTGACACCAGTACCAGTGAGAGAAAAGAAACGTTACTGGGTCAGCATGCCTGTGTAGAGGGAGGAGTTAACGTTAGTACCAGTGAAAGAAAGGAAACAGACACAAAAGTGTTCACTGAATTTCTTTAAAAAAAGGAGGGAGGGGGTGAACTAAAATGTCGTATCCATGGTCAAGTCGTGGGGATGACACTAGTGCATACACATGACAGAAGAGTGGTGCCAGTGCTAGCGTACACGTGACATTAGAGTGGTGCCAGTGCTGGCGTACACATGACATTAGAGTGGTACCAGTGCTAGCGTACACATTACAGAAGAGTAGTGCCAGTGCTAGCGTACACATTACAGAAGAGTGGTGCCAGTGCTAGCGCACACATGACAGAAGAGTGGTGCCAGTGCTAGCGTACACGTGACATTAGAGTGGTGCCAGTGCTGGCGTACACATGACATTAGAGTGGTACCAGTGCTAGCGCACACATGACAGAAGAGTAGTGCCAGTGCTAGCGTACACATTACAGAAGAGTGGTGCCAGTGCTAGCGCACACATGACAGAAGAGTGGTGCCAGTGCTAGCGTACACGTGACATTAGAGTGGTGCCAGTGCTGGCGTACACATGACATTAGAGTGGTACCAGTGCTAGCGTACACATGACAGAAGAGTGGTGCCAGTGCTAGCGTACACGTGACATTAGAGTGGTGCCAGTGCTGGCGTACACATGACATTAGAGTGGTGCCAGTGCTAGCGCACACATGACAGAAGAGTGGTGCCAGTGCTAGCGTACACATGACAGAAGAGTGGTGCCAGTGCTAGCGTACACATTACAGAAGAGTGGTGCCAGTGCTAGCGTACACATGACAGAAGAGTGGTGCCATTGCTAGCGTACACATGACAGAAGAGTGGTGCCAGTGCTAGCGCACACATGACAGAAGAGTGGTGCCAGTGCTAGCGCACACATACTAATAGCCAAACAGACTGGCAAACAGACAGAGAGAGACAGTAAGGATGATTGATATCAGGGCTGTACCGAATATTCGCTTTGTATTCGCTTCGGGGCCGAATAGTGGACCTATTGACTATTCGGTATTCTGCCGAATAGTTGCGGTCGGGCCGAATACGAATAATAGTCACCTTACACCTGCTTTTGCATACACGGCACTTAATGCTGACAACATTGGAAGATTGGTTTTGTTGAAAGCTAATGCAGCTTTCCTGCAATAACTTTCCTGCTCTCAGTGACGATTTCCAAGGTTAGTTACTTGTTATAATACGTAGTATTCTTTCATTCTTAGTTATTAGTTACCCCAGACAGACTGAAGGATGCAAAACATAAAATATTTTTTTTTTAAATTTACTATTCTGTAAGAATACTAACTAGTCATGGAAAAAATATAAACTCCAGCCACATCCAAGTCGATAAAATAGATGAAAATCAAACGAACGAAAACATATAAGTACTTGGGTGCAAACTTCAACTGCTCCAACATGCTGAGAGAAGAAATACAATCTAGAATACAATCTAGAAATAAAGTATACCATGCCCTTCAACATCTGCTAAAGTCAAAGTGTCTGTCTCGCAACACCAAGATCAAAATATGTAAAACGTTGATAAGACCAGTCGTTTTATACAGCTCTGAAATTTGAAGCAGAAATAAAAGAGATGAGACCTTATTACAGGTTTTTGAAAACAGTCTTACGACAAATCTTTGGACCCATCAAAGATGCTAACAGCCGAGAATGGAGAGTGAGAAGCAACAACGTAACATATAATCTGATTGATCACTGGCATCATGAGAGCTAACAGACTAAAATGGTTGGGGCACACTGAAAGAATCTCAGATGACAGAGAAGTAAAATCTGTATACACCTGCGAGAGGAATGGGCGTAGACCACGAGGCAGACACACAAAAAGTTCGAGAGATAATGTCCAGCCAGACCTGCAAACAACTGGTGTGAAGATAAGGCCAACCAGAGAGATGAATGGAGACGAGTGATATCTGCAGCAGTAAACCTCAAGGGCTCATAATGCTAAAGAATAAGATGACTATTCTGTGCTACTTTATGTGAAGTAAAGGTTCAGCGTACATTTGACATTATGAATGTGTTTAAAAAAAAAAAAAAAAAAAAAAAAAAAAAAAATATATATATATATATATATATATATATATATATATATATATATATATATATATATATATATATATATAATACACTATACACTATTCGTATTCGGCCGAATAGTTGGTCCCGCTATTCGTATTAGGCCGAATAGTAAAATTCACTATTCGGTACAGCCCTAATTGATATACAAAGTATCAGTGGAGCCAAGAATACAAAGTATCAGTGGAGCCAAGAATACAAAGTATCAGTGGAGCCAAGAATACAAAGTATCAGTGGAGCCAAGAATACAAAGAATCAGTGGAGCCAAGAATACAAAGTATTCCATGTGGGATGGCAAAAACCCGATTGAAAGGGAGCTTTGGAAAGACTGATGGGAAAATGACATGGGTGGGTGGTGGGGTGAATGTGTGGGTGGATGGTGGGATAGATGGGTGGGTAGATGAATGGATGGAGTGATGGATGGCTATATTCGTGGATTGGTGGAATGATAGATGGATGATATATGGATGATAGATGGATGGATATATATGTATGCTAATATATGACAACCCCGCCCCCCCCCCTTTCCAAATGAATCACGAGGCATGATGCTTCTCTCTTGCCAGCTATCAAATAGAGACAGTAATGATGAGCTATCATATAGAGACAGTAAGGATGATTGTTATACAAAGTATTAGTCGAGCTCAAGCGCCAAAAATCGTGTTCACTAAACTACCTGTCGTATAGGTAGCAGAAACCAGTAATGCACTGTGTAGGGGAGAGGGGGGGGGGGTGTACAAGCAAGAGCCAGGAATTTAGTACGTATGGGAAGGTACAACCTAAAAAGGTGGGTAGCGATAAATGGAAGACAGAGAGATGTATGGGATGAGTGGATGGTAGAATGAAAAGATGATAGGATATATGGGCGGATGAGGCGATGGGTGGGTGGATGGATAAATGGATTGGTCTGGATGTTTGTAAGTATATGAAATCAAGTGAACAAGGGTCCCGTAACACAATGCTTCTCTCTGACTCACATAGAGACAGTGAGGATGATTGCTACACACAAACCTCACACATACAGTGTGACCACAACAATTGACACCTCGGTAGCACAAACGAGATATATACACTGCATATCGGGAGTGTGTTTAACAAACACAATAGCTAAACTATTCTATCTAGGGCGGTACATGTAAGTGTGATGGGATTGAATTGGTGGATTAACCAAAGTGTGCATGGATAGGAAAGAGAGAGAGAGAGAGAGAGAGAGAGAGAGAGAGAGAGAGAGAGAGAGAGAGAGAGAGAGAAGAGGAGGAGAGAGAGAGGGATTAGCAGAGAGAGAGAGAGAGAGAGAGGAGAGAGAGAGAGAGGAGAGAGAGGGAGAGAGAGGGAGAGAGAGAGAGAGGAGAAAGAGAGGGAGAGCGAGGGAGAGAGAGAGAGAGAGAGAGAGGGAGAGAGAGGGAGAGACAGAGAGAGAGAGAGAGGGGGGAGAGAGAGGGAGAGAGAGATGCTAAGTGGTTTCCGAGTATATGTACAGCACCAGGCAACTGTCATGTCATGTAATATGACGCAACATGTCATGTATTATGACGCAACATTTCATGTATTATGACTCAACTGGACCGGTCGAGACCTCGAGGTCGAGACCCTAATTAAAAGAGAGCATCCGAAAACTCACACAACGTAGGATAGGGACGAGCTGCTCGTCATTGAAAGAGAAAACACAGTACAGCACAAGTTTAGAAACATGACTAAAACATCTAGTGAGAGTGCAGCCAGAGCAACAATCAACCCAGGTGCTACATTAGACAAGATCTCTAGTGAAATCAAAAGGCCACCATAGGAGGCATGGACTGGTGACATTAAAGATCTTATACAACGACATGAAATGACAATAGCCAGTGCTGCAAAACCAAGCAATGGATCGTAAATTGTTCCTCCCCACGTCACCAAACGGAAGAAATGAAGACTGATGTTAATGATTATGATGATGACTAAAACATATCACATCGGTAGAAATAACACTTGCAAACTCAGAGCAGTATGCGAAAAATATAAATACAACATTAAAAATAAAACTTAAAAATACAACAATACAGTAGATATAACACTTACAAAATACAATACAACATAAGAAAAATATTTAGTAAAACAACAGAATATTAAACAAATTCCTTAAAAATACAACATAACATAAGAAGAATTGCCTAGAAATACAACAAAACACAAGAGAAATTGCTGAGAAGTACGACACAATATTAGAAAAACACTCAATTTACAACAAAGCATTAGAAAAAGCATTCAGTTATAGAACACACTATGAAAATCAACTTTAACAACTGCAACAGTAAAACAACATTACAGTTACAAGGTAAACATTGTATTCAACACTTAAAAATACAAAACCGCGTTAAACTGACACTCTAAAAGTCACACCAACCTGGCGTGTCAAACTCGGGCATCACTCGAATTCCACGAAGCCGGGCATACTCGATGATTTCGCTAATGTCGTCTAGCGAATAGATATATGTCGGGTGGAAAGGCCCTTTGGCGCTGAGCTCTGGGAACACCTGGCTCTGGTAGGGAAACGACTGATCATCGACTATATGCCATTGTAGTACATTCAGCTTGTTCATCTCCATACACTCCTGGATTAAAAAAAAAAATAAAAACATATATATGTATACATACACACACACATATATTATGCTCCTCAGTAGACATTTATAAATACAATTTACAACATACATTTCATTGATTACCCCCCCCCCCCAAACAAATCCATGAAGAATTAGATAACATACACTTCATGCATCATCATATTTCCTGAAGAATTAGATAACATACATTTTATATACCCCCATATATCCTTGAAGAATTAGATAACATACATTTTATATACCTCCATATATCCTTGAAGAATTAGATAACATACATTTTTTATACCCCCATATATCCTTGAAGAATTAGATAACATACATTTTATATACCCCCATATATCCTTGAAGAATTAGATAACATACATTTTATATACCCCCATATATCCTTGAAGAATTAGATAACATACAATTTACATACCCATATATCCTTGAAGAATTAGATAACATACTTTTTATAACCCCCATATATCCTTGAAGAATTAGATAACATACATTTTATATACCCCCATATATCCTTGAAGAATTAGATAACATACATTTTATATACCCCCATATATCCTTGAAGAATTAGATAACATACATTTTATATACCCCCATATATCCTTGAAGAATTAGATAACATACATTTTATATACTCCCATATATCCTTGAAGAATTAGATAACATACATTTTATATACCCCCATATATCCTTGAAGAATTAGATAACATACATTTTTTATACGTCCATATATCCTTGAAGAATAAGGTAACATAATTTCATATATCCCTGAAGAATATATATATATATATATATCAATTAGATAACACACATTTTATATACCCCCATATATCCTTGAAGAATAAGGTAACATAATTTCATATATCCTTGAAGAATATATATATATATATATCAATTAGATAACATACATTTTATATACCCCCATATATCCTTAAAGAATAAGGTAACATAATTTCATATATCCTTGAAGAATATATATATATATTAATTAGATAACATACATTTTATATACCCCCATATATCCTTGAAGAATAAGGTAACATAATTTCATATATCCTTGAAGAATATATATATATATATCAATTAGATAACATACATTTTATATACCCCCATATATCCTTGAAGAATAAGGTAACATAATTTCATATATCCTTGAAGAATATATATATATATCAATTAGATAACATACATTTTATATACCCCCATATATCCTTAAAGAATAAGGTAACATAATTTCATATATCCTTGAAGAATATATATATATATCAATTAGATAACATACATTTTATATACCCCCATATATCCTTGAAGAATAAGGTAAAATAATTTCATATATCCTTGAAGAATATATATATATATATATATATATATATATATATATATATATATATATATATATATATATCAATTAGATAACATACATTTTATATACCCCCATATATCCTTGAAGAATAAGGTAACATAATGTCATATATCCTTGAAGAAATATATATATATATATATATATATATCAATTAGATAACATACATTTTATATACCCCCATATATCCTTGAAGAATAAGGTAACATAATTTCATATATCCTTGAAGAATATATATATATATACAATTATTATAATAATACATTTTATATACCCCCATATATCCTTGAAGAATAAGATAACATAATTTCATATATCCTTGAAGAAATATATATATATATATATATATATATCAATTAGATAACACACATTTTATATACCCCCATATATCCTTGAAGAATAAGGTAACATAATTTCATATATCCTTGAAGAATATATATATATATACATCAATTAGATAACACACATTTTATATACCCCCATATATCCTTGAAGAATAAGATAACATAATTTCATATATCCTTGAAGAATATATATATATATATATATATATATCAATTAGATAACACACATTTTATATACCCCCATATATCCTTGAAGAATAAGGTAACATAATTTCATATATCCTTGAAGAATATATATATATATACATCAATTAGATAACACACATTTTATATACCCCCATATATCCTTGAAGAATAAGGTAACATAATTTCATATATCCTTGAAGATAAATATATATATATATATATATATATATATATATATATATATATATATATATATATCAATTAGATAACACACATTTTATATACCCCCATATATCCTTGAAGAATAAGGTAACATAATTTCATATATCCTTGAAGAATATATATATATATATCAATTAGATAACACACATTTTATATACCCCCATATATCCTTGAAGAATAAGGTAACATAATTTCATATATCCCTGAGGAATATATATATATCAATTAGATAACATACATTTTATATACCCCCATATATCCTTGAAGAATAAGGTAACATAATTTCATATATCCCTGAAGAATATATATATATCAATTAGATAACATACATTTTATATACCCCCATATATCCTTGAAGAATAAGGTAACATAATTTCATATATCCCTGAAGAATATATATATATATCAATTAGATAACATACATTTTAAATAACCCCCATATATCCTTGAAGAATAAGGTAACATAATTTCATATATCCCTGAAGAATATATATATATATATCAATTAGATAACATACATTTTATATACCCCCATATATCCTTGAAGAATAAGGTAACATAATTTCATATATCCCTGAAGAATATATATATATATCAATTAGATAACATAAATTTTATATACCCCCATATATCCTTGAAGAATAATGTAACATAATTTCATATATCCCTGAAGAATATATATATATATATATATATATATATCAATTAGATAACATACATTTTATATACCCCCATATATCCTTGAAGAATAAGGTAAAATAATTTCATATATCCCTGAAGAATATATATATATATATAAATATATATATATATATATATATATATATAAAATATATATATAAATATAATAAAGTATATAAATTTATATATATATGATATATATATATATATACCAATTAGATAACATACATTTTATATACCCCCATATATCCTTGAAGAATAAGGTAACATAATTTCATATATCCTTGAAGAATATATATATATATATCAATTAGATAACATACATTTTATATACCCCCATATATCCTTGAAGAATAAGGTAACATAATTTCATATATCCTTGAAGAATATATATATATATCAATTAGATAACATACATTTTATATACCCCCATATATCCTTGAAGAATAAGGTAACATAATTTCATATATCCTTGAAGAATATATATATATATATCAATTAGATAACATACATTTTATATACCCCCCCATATATCCTTAAAGAATAAGGTAACATAATTTATATATATCCCTTTGAATAATATATATATATAATCAATTAATAACATACATTTTATATACCCCCATATATCCTTGAAGAATAAGGTAAAATATAATTTCATATATCCTTGAAGAATATATATATATAATAATAATATTAATACATTATCCTTATATATGTAACAAAAAATTTATATATATAATGAATATATAATATATCAATTAATAATAAATTTTATACCCCCCCCATATATCCTTAAAGAATAAGGTAATATAATGTCATATATCCTGAAGAATATATATATCAATTAGATACATTTTATATACCCCCATATATCCTTGAAGAATAAGGTAACATAATTTCATATATCCCTGAAGAATATATATATATCAATTAAATAACATACATTTTATATACCCCCATATATCCTTGAAGAATAAGGTAACATAATTTTCATATATCCCTGAAGAATATATATATATCAATTAGATAACATACATTTTATATACCCCCATATATCCTTGAAGAATAAGGTAACATAATTTCATATATCCCTGAAGAATATATATATATCAATTAGATAACATACATTTTATATACCCCCATATATCCTTGAAGAATAAGGTAACATAATTTCATATATCCCTGAAGAATATATATATATATCAATTAGATAACATACATTTTATATACCCCCATATATCCTTGAAGAATAAGGTAACATAATTTCATATATCCCTGAAGAATATATATATATCAATTAGATAACATACATTTTATATACCCCCATATATCCTTGAAGAATAAGGTAACATAATTTCATATATCCCTGAAGAATATATATATATCAATTAGATAACATACATTTTATATACCCCCATATATCCTTGAAGAATAAGGTAACATAATTTCATATATCCCTGAAGAATATATATATATCAATTAGATAACATACATTTTATATACCCCCATATATCCTTGAAGAATAAGGTAACATAATTTCATATATCCCTGAAGAATATATATATATATCAATTAGATAACATACATTTTATATACCCCCATATATCCTTGAAGAATAAGGTAACATAATTTCATATATCCCTGAAGATTATATATATATCAATTAGATAACATACATTTTATATACCCCCATATATCCTTGAAGAATAAGGTAACATAATTTCAATATATCCCTAAATATATCAATTAGGATAACATACACATATATATATATCAAGATTATAACATACATTTCATATACCCCCATATATCCTTGAAAATAAGAATTAACATACATTTCATAACCCCCCGCACCCCCGCACACACACATCTATCTGAAGAATTAGATAGCATACACTTTCATATCCCCCCCCCCCACAATGTACACACATATCTCTGAAGAATTAGATAGCATACATTTCATATACCCCCCCCCCGCCCACACACACACATATCTCTGAAGAATTAGATAGCATACATTTCATATACCCCCCCCCCCACACACACACACATATCTTTGAAGAATTAGATAGCATACATTTCATATCCCCCCCCCCCACCCACACACACACACATATCTCTGAAGAATTAGATAGCATACATTTCATATACCCCCCCCCCCCCCCACACACACACACACATATCTCTGAAGAATTAGATAGCATACATTTCATTTACCCCGCCCCCCCCCCACACACACACACACACACATATCTCTGAAGAATTAGATAGCATACATTTCATATACCCCCCCCCCCCCCCCCCACACACACACATATCTCTGAAGAATTAGATAGCATACATTTCATTTACCCCCCCCCCCCCCCCCACACACACACACACATATCTCTGAAGAAAATTAGATAGCATACATTTCATAAAACCCCGCCCCCCCCCCCCCCACACACACACACACACACAAATCTCTGAAGAATTAGATAGCATACATTTCATATACCCCCCCCCCCCCCCCCCCCCCCCCCCCCACACACACACATATCTCTGAAGAATTAGATAGCATACATTTCATATACCCCCCCCCCACACACACACACACACACACATATCTCTGAAGAATTAGATAGCATACATTTCATATATCTCCGAAGAATTAGTTCATCTTCATTTCATGTACCCCCAAATATCCCGGAAGAATTAGATAACAAACGTTTCGTGTACCCCCAAATACCCCGGAAGATTTATACAACATACTTTTCATCTACCCACATATATATCCGTGATGAAAATGGACGCTAGGCGCGGTCACTGTTTTGAGTCGTGGCAAAGTTTTTGCTTCTGGCAGACGGTGGCCGTTGCATTTTTGTTCTATCTGTAGACTGAGGGGATACAGTTTCGTCGCCCAGCTACTGAGTTGAGTGCATGGTGCGACACTGTGAGCTGCGGATTTAATTTAGAATGTTTTTCGTCTGTGACCAGCGTGGTGTTAGGCGAAGTCGATATAAATATCACAAGTGGCTGTCGACCGATGCCAAGCTTTCCTAGTAGTTTATGACTTCTGTTACTTTGTTCTGTGATAAAATGAATAGATAGACATAATTGCTGGTACTGAACTTTTGGACGGTAACTCAATACATGATAAGTTAGATGTGGTCAAACCCCTTTGGGAGCCAGTGGGTGATGCGGAAGTCAAATGGATCATTGCGCTGTGGAGAAAATGGCCAGTGACCAGGAGATCTGGCTGACTCTGTGCACTCAGAAGAGAGACAAGACATAATCAATTGTCTAATAATACCACCGGAAATATCAACTCTCTCACAAATGTAGGTCAAGTAATGGAGCCTTTTCTACGGCGTTCTGGGTATATAGGGCTAGATCCATATTTTATAGACCAATCAGCACTTGTTGGGTGATGTGGTCAGCATCACGCCGGCCGTCTTTACTTTCCAGGACTGCACCCGGTACCCACTCAAGGCCTATGGGAAAAGCGTCCGGCTCCGTCAGGACCCGAACTAACGACCTTCCGATAAGCAGGCAAGAGTCTATCCGCTATATCACGGCGACTCGCATCTTTCACAAATGTAGATAAGTCATTCACAAACTCATAGACGACTTGCAGACTCACCAGAACATCTAAAATAACCTCTTTAAACAGGAAGTGCCGCGAAGTGTCGATGAGTAGGCCCCGGTGCGGAAATCTTGGGTAGTCGCTGATGACTGTCTCTTTGATGTAGAGCTGCACGGAGTGGAGAAAACCAGCAATGTCAGAACGTGGGCACACCCTGTCTGTGTCTGTCATATCATGGCTACGTTTCGACATGTTGGCAGAAGGAAAGCAATCGACAACTTGGTCACCACTGGGAAGACTGATAGACTGAGAGCATGGCAAAAGCAGAAAGATAAATACCTAGATGGTGTGGACAAATGGATGCAGGTGAGACTTGAAAAATGACTGAATCCGTGTTCCTATAGCTTTCAATTTTTATGTTGTCTAGTGTGTTCTTCTATCTTTCTACTTCTTTCTATGAGTGCCGTTCACAATACTTTCTGTTACTTGATTAATTCATGCTGTTTGTATGGGAAGGCTAGAGTGACTGTCTACGTGGAAAAATTGTTTCAAAAAGGTGTTGGTTGAGCTCACGGTCCGTGAACTCAATTCACCTCCTTCCTTTCTAAAAGTTTGTAATAATGATGACGATGATGTTGATGATGATGTTGATGGTAACGTTAGTATTACCCCCCCCCCTCCCCTCCCCCCAGCCTCCATAACCACATCTGCAGGGCCTCAATTTTACTTTATCATTGTTTGTTCTTTGTTCATATGTCTGTATCATTTTCTTTGTTTTCTTGTTCATATTTCTACATCACACTGTTTGTTCATTGTTCGTGTTTCCGTATCATTTTCTTTGTTTTATTGTTCATGTTTCTGAATCATTTTTGTTTTGTATGTTCATGTTTCTGTATGATTTCCGTGTTTTTTTTTTTTGTTGTTGTTGTTGTGTGTGCTCATCTTTCAGCATCATTTTCTTTGTTTTATTGTTCATGTTTCTATATTATTATAATTTTTTTTCATGTTTTTGCATCACATTTATTTTTGTTGATTTTTTCATGTTTTCGCATCATATAATTTGTTCATTTCTCATGTTTCTGTATCACATTTTTGCTGTAGATTATTCATGTTTCTGCGTCGGATTTTTTATTCTTTGTTCTTCTTTCTGAATCATATTGCTGGTTTATTATCATATTTCTATATCATACAGATTGTTCTTGTTTGTGTTACAGCATTATATTGTTTATTAATGTTTTTATATCATATTATTTGATCATTAGTTTCCATGTTTTTCCAACATTTTAAAAAAATGTTTCCATGTCATTTTATTTGTCCATTTTTAACATCTCTGCATCATATTGTTTGTTCAAATTTAATGTTTCTGCATCATATTGTTTGTTCAAATTTAATGTTTCTGCATCATATTGTTTGTTCAAATTTAATGTTTCTGCATCATATTGTTTGTTCAAATTTAATGTTTCTGCATCATATTGTTTGTTCAAATTTAATGTTTCTGCATCATATTGTTTGTTCAAATTTAATGTTTCTGCATCATATTGTTTGTTCAAATTTAATGTTTCTGCATCATATTGTTTGTTCAAATTTAATGTTTCTGCATCATATTGTTTGTTCAAATTTAATGTTTCTGCATCATATTGTTTGTTCAAATTTAATGTTTCTGCATCATATTGTTTGTTCAAATTTAATGTTTCTGCATCATATTGTTTGTTCAAATTTAATGTTTCTGCATCATATTGTTTGTTCAAATTTAATGTTTCTGCATCATATTGTTTGTTCAAATTTAATGTTTCTGCATCATATTGTTTGTTCAAATTTAATGTTTCTGCATCATATTGTTTGTTCAAATTTAATGTTTCTGATTCATATTGTTTGTTCAAATTTAATGTTTCTGCATCATATTGTTTGTTCAAATTTAATGTTTCTGCATCATATTGTTTGTTCAAATTTAATGTTTCTGCATCATATTGTTTGTTCAAATGTAATGTTTCTGCATCATATTGTTTGTTCAAATTTAATGTTTCTGCATCATATTGTCTGTTTATGATTCCATGTCATATTGTCTGTTTATGATTCCATGTCATATTGTCTGTTTATGATTCTATGTCATATTGTCTGTTTATGATTCCGTGTCATATTGTTTGTTCAAATTTAATGTTTCTGCATCACATTGCTTGTTTATGATTCCGTGTCATATTGTTTGTTCAAATTTAATGTTTCTGCATCACATTGCCTGTTTATGATTCCGTGTCATATTGTTTGTCAAATTTAATGTTTCTGCATCACATTGCCTGTTTATGATTCCGTGTCATATTGTTTGTTGAAATTTAATGTTTCTGCATCACATTGCCTGTTTATGATTCCGTGTCATATTGTTTGTTCAAATTTAATGTTTCTGCATCACATTGCCTGTTTATGATTCTATGTCATATTGTTTGTTCAAATTTAATGTTTCTGCATCACATTGCCTGTTTATGATTCTATGTCATATTGTTTGTTCAAATTTAATGTTTCTGCATCATATTGTCTGTTTATGATTCTATGTCATATTGTTTGTAGATTTTTCATATTTCTGTGTCAAACTGTTTGTTCATTTCGTATGTTTTGGTATTATATTGTTTGTTCATGTTTCCATGTCATATTGTTTATTGATTGTTCTTGTTTCTGCCCAATATTTCTTGCTGATTGTTACAGTTTCCATATCATATTGTTTGTTTATTGCTCATGTTTATGAGTGCCTTATTGTTTGTTCATTAATCATGCTTTGAATCATATTATTTGTGGACACAAACATACGTTCAACACAGACAAATATAGAGAAAGAAACAAATAAGAAAGAAAGAAAGAAAGAAAGAAAGAAAGAAAGAAAGAAAGAAAGAAAGAAAGAAAGAAAGAAAGAAAGAAAGAAAGAAAGAAAGAAAGAAAGAAAGAAAGAAAGAAAGAAAGAAAAAGAAAGAAAGAAAGAAAGAAAGAAAGAAAGAAAGAAAGAAAGAAAGAAAGAAAGAAAGAAAGAAAGAAAGAAAGAAAAAGAAAGAAAGAAAGAAAGAAAGAAAGAAAGAAAGAAAGAAAGAAAGAAAGAAAGAAAGAAAGAAAGAAAGAAAGAAAGAAAGAAAGAAAGAAAGAAAGAAAGAAAGATAGAAAAAAAAATAAAGAAAGAAAGAAAGAAAGAAAAAGACAGAAAGAAAGAAAGAAGGAATGAATGAAAGAAAAAAGAAAGAAAGAAAAAAAAGAAAGAAAGAAAGAAAGAAAGAAAGAAAGAAAGAAAGAAAGAAAGAAAGAAAGAAAGAAAGAAAGAAAGAAAGAAAGAAAGAAAAGAAAAGAAAGAAAGAAAGAAAGAAAAAGAAAGAAAGAAAGAAAGAAGAAAGAAAGAAAGAAAGAAAAAGAAAGAAAGAAAGAAAGAAGAGAAAGAAAAAAAAGAAAGAAAGAAAGAAAGAAAGAAAAAAGACAGAAAGAAAGAAAGAAAGAAAGAAATGAATGAAAGAAAAAAGAAAGAAAGAAAAAAAGAAAGAAAGAAAGAAGAAAGAAAGAAAGAAAGAAAGAAAGAAAGAAAGAAAGAAAGAAAAGAAAGAAGAAAGAAAGAAAGAAAGAAAGAAAGAAAGAAAGAAAGAAAGAAAGAAAGAAAGAAAGAAAGAAAGAAAGAAAGAAAGAAAGAAAGAAAGAAAGAAAGAAAGAAAGAAAGAAAGAAAGAAAGAAAGAAATAAAGAAACAAATAAGAAAGAAAGAAAGAAAGAAAGAAAGAAAGAAAGAAAGAAAGAAAGAAAGAAAGAAAGAAAGAAAGAAAGAAAGAAAGAAAGAAATATTCTTTTTAAAGTGCTGACTTACAGATCTGTCACTTCCTGTCCAGACAAGATGACCAAATGTTTCTAGGCCCCTAATAGCTCCCCAAATTTCATTAGCCCAGAGATAGGTTTTCTTTTTCTTCACCACAAGATCATCTACATGCATACACAAGAGTCATTGACAAGGAAAATATCGATTAATATGAACACATACAAAACGGAGTTATCGCTATACATACTAAATGTAGAATAATGTACACAAAGTATGTAGAGATACAGATAGTAAAGAAAACACCGAAAAATGTAATATAACACATGGAAAATTACCATGCTTACAAAATGTAAAGAAGACTACATGGCAAGTGGGGACTAATATACAGTGACAATGTAAAGTAGTGTAATATGCAAAGAAATTGCGGGGATAAAATACACAGAACATGTAGAATAAATGGCAATTAAAAGTAATTTTCTTAGGAATTTTGGGGGAAAATTTAGAAAATTATAGGAGACAGAAGGTTGAGGATAGATATGACTACAAACGCCCCGGACATGGCCTATCAGACATGAGACAGATAGTTGCGGATAGACATGACTACCATCCAAACACGGCATGGACTATAAGATACAAGACAGAAGGTTGTTAAGAGAGACGTGACTATCAACGCCACGGAAATGGACGTTAAGAAACGAGGCAGAAGGTTGTAGAGAGACATGATAGAAAAATGCTTAGGGCTTTTGTGCTCTCGGCCCTTATCTCCCCCCCCCCTCCCTTTTTTTTCCTCGACAATCTGTAAGAGTGTTGGTTCTCTAGATGTGGATGGATGCGGCAATGGAGGAGTGTGACTCGACATCTTTTGACGCTCAACACGGCAAGTTACTGCAGCCAGGTGTAACCATTAACTGCGCCCTAATTATAACTTCTCTCTAAGTTGAACGGGGTATCTGGAATTAGCCAGTTTGTCTGATACCTAAAACAAGAATTTTGAATAGCCATTGGTGATCAAACTTTTAGGCAGAGACTAAAAAGCATAAAACTGCAGTTCTATTCAAAAATATGACACGGCTGACATCTGTTTTCAGAACCACACTGATTAATTAATCATCAAAAGTTAAAGGACTATGACCATTTGATTGATTTATCTAAAAAATCTATTTCTGACAATAAAGTTATTGATGACGACGTAAAAATGCATCGCAGCAAGTGTACACATATTCTAAGAAATACCTTATTTTCTCACTTGGAAAAAGATTTGATCAGTGATATTTCTACAAATAAATATAGTTTATTATTAGACGAATCAAATGATATTTCGGTACTGAAAGTGCTTGGTGTGTGTATTATATATTACAGCAACAGTAAAGTCAAAGTAGTTTCTTCATATCTTGGACTATTTCAGATACAAAAATGTTAAGCAGAAAGTATAGTTCAGGAACAGAATAAACTTTTAATCAGCAAACAATTAGACATGAAGAATTTGGCTGCAATTGGGATCGATAATGCCTCGGTAATGATTGGTATCAACATAAATACAATAACTTATGCAAAGCATTAAAAGATGGTTTCGCCCACTGAAATTTTCATCAAACTGCAAAACTAGATGGTTAACGATTTATTCAGCTGTTGAAAGAATTGTGAACCAATGGTTGGAGTTGAAGAAAAAAACAAGACAAAGTGAAAAGTGCTACACAGCTGAAATACCATATGGAATGTACAGAGATTTAAAAAAAAAAATAGCATTCCTTCTCTTTTTACAACTTTTTCTAATGGAAGTGCAAGAAAAAAAAAATAATAATAAAAGGTTGAATCTTAACATGTTGATAAAGTTAAATAACTTGACGATCTCACTTTGCTATTTCACTCAGTTGCTAAAAGACTGGTTTTGTCAACTTCTAAAGCAGAACTGCTCACTTGTTCGGCATAATCTTTGTTTTGTTTTACTGTTCATGTTTCTGTACGATTTTTGGTTGTTTTATTGCTCAAAATTGTTAACTTTATGACATTTTTAGGGACAAAAGTGTGGCGGGAGCAGAATATCAATTAACCATAATAAACTTGGTTGACTGGACAAACAAAACAGAAAGTGACGCGTTTTGGAGTGAAGTGATACAATTTAAAGATGCCTCATCAAACAGTCCATTCTGTAAGCTCTTTGAATGAGCCATGTCTGTCGTGATACTACCCCATTCAAATGCTGACGTATAAATAGTTTTTAGTGCTACGAATTAAATTAAACCTAGCCTAAGAAATAGGATGAAACTGGACTTCTTAAATGCTATCTTGACAATAAAATTTGGCCCAATGAGAGTAAGAAAATGCTGTTCAACTTATAGACTCTCTAATTGTGTATTAAAAGAAATTGGAACAGTTAAAGCATACGAGAGTCATTTTGAATCTGAAGCTTCAACTTCATCATCCAAGCTAAGTTTATCCTGTGGATCTTGTGAGACAGACATCGGTGAAGATGAGGACATAATTATCATATGGTAAGTATATGCCGAAGAGGCAAGGAACCAACATTCTGTATTCAAGAAAATGAGATCTGTAAAACTGATGCACACGCAACCCTCAGGTTCTGGAGCAGGACTGCAGTTCAGTAGTGGACGAGCAACCAGAACTTTCCGGAAGAGTGTACAGCTGGTAATGATGATAAAGATGTCTGCCTAGCTGCATGCTTCTCACGTTAATTTAATGCTGGTATAACAAAATAAACAAAATTGCTTTTATTGTACTGTCTTTATTGTCATCTTTAAAGGCGATAAAAAACATCAGCGGCACCCTGAATGACAGCTGATTTCACACTATACTTTTTATGTCGGGCTATGTTCTTCATCCCTAGTTACTTTGTAAACTGGTTTTGTTGATAATGACTGCCAACTGGCTTTTGGTGATGCTTGGTACTAATAGTTTGTCGTCGACTCTAACATCTTAGTGTAATGTTTCTATTAAATTGATCTCTGTTGACCATGGATTCAGGTAACGTGATTGTTGTCTCTGCAGTTTATGTCCCTATCGTGTCTCATCTCTAGTGTCTGTATTTAAGGCTCCGTGTGACTGGTTCCTCTTCTTCCAGTGTTGAGCTGGCATCTCCATAATTGAATGTTCTCGTCTGCGAGGATTCATATGACTAGTCCCTCTTCTTCTGAGTCTCGACACCTGGATAGAGTCTTCTTAACATGTGAGGATCCAAATGACTAGTACCCAATCTTGGACGTCTTATAGACTGAAGGTTGTCGTCTGCGAGGGTCAGTGTGACTAGTCCCTCTTCCTTTGAGTCTCCGCGACTGAAGGTTGCTCAAGTGGTTTCTTACCCCTCTATTTAAACAAAGACGCTGTCATGTGTCAAATATTTTTCTACTCACAAAACTGTTTCTGGAAGGTTCTAGTCTGCTTAAACTTGTTTACTAACTGGGTTATTACTGTGGGATTCCCTACATCAGGTAGCTCTACACTAAATAACACTAATTAAATTGACAGCTGGCCTTCTAGAAGTTTTGGAAAGCGAGTGCGACAAGTCTCTCTCTCTCTCTCTCTCTCTCTCTCTCTCTCTCTCCCTCTCTCTCTCCCTCTCTCTCTCTCCCTCTCTCTCTCTCTCTCTCTCTCTCCTCTCTCTCTCTCTCTCTCTGATAGGGCACGCCAACAAAATTACGCTGTATAGTATTTATATAACTAAATAATTCATTTGAATAACAGCGCTCTGCTAAAAACAATGTGATGGTTCTAGAAAGGGAATGTCAGGGTTGCTAAGACTTTTTTTTTAGCCCATTCAACTAATACGCAGTTAAAGACGTCCCACTGTTAAAAGACAGCACAGAAAAAAAAATTGGCTTGCTCACACCGATTGAACTCCTTGCGACACCGTACCATGCATGGAACACGCCAAAGAGGTGAGGCCGTAGATCAAGAATGAGACCAAGAAAGATAACATTTTAAAAAAACACACACACAGGATAACCTTAAACGATATCAGTTTTTTTTAATGATCGAAATGCAGCTGAAGCGTTAAAAGAGAAACGGCAAAAGAATAAAGTTGGTAAACGATCACCCACATTAAATACTGACGTTGCCGTCTGAAGATGTATGCCCTCACACTTTCTAAGCTAAAATCCTAATGGAGCAAAGATGCACAAAATTAAGACTATTATTGGCTCTTAGCCTGTCGTGCTCATGTAAGGGGGAGATGAGGGGGAGGGGGGGGGGGCTGTTCTTAACACTAGTCCACTAGAAGGGTTGGGGTTTCAACACTCAGGGCGAAACGATATGGCGAAAGGAATGTAAAGTTGAAATCTGGTTCTGTCTGCCAAGCTACTGAGTAGTGTCCAAGGCTAATCGTCTCGGATCCCGTACATTTGTTTCATAAGCTGCATATTCAGAAAATGGCTAGTGGCTAGTTGCCACCGAACTAACGGTCTGCCCTTTGCATTTATTTATTGTGTACAGCTGCTGGTTTGTCGTGAATCTGTTTCCATCAACTTTGAACTGTAATTTCATTAGCAATTCTTGGTGTTGGGGTCTCTGATGGCTGCCTTATACGTACGAGATGTGATGAAGATGTTCGAATTTGCCAAAACTCATGCTGGCTGACCTCTCACCTGGGACATTCATTGGCAGAGGTTTATGTACTTAAACTTGATCACTGTCTTTACCTCCTTTTGTGATATGGGATGGAAGACTTGTTTTCCAAGGGTTACTTTGGCCAGTTTATCTGCCAACTCATTTCCTCCTCTGTCACAGGGATCGACTAGCAAAACCTTGATAGTCTCAGAGAGTTGGCGGAGTTGACAGATCATCTCGCTATCTTTGTTTCGCTGTGTGTGTCATGTAGGGGTAGCGTGCAGGCACACAAGATCATGAAATGGGAGTCTTTGAAGCTTTTGATTGGAGTCTTTTAATGCATGACAAGGCAGATGTGGTAAAGGCCTTTTGGGAACAAGTAACGGAATCAGTAGGGAAACAAGAATATTATGGCCTGGGGAGAATGAGGCGCCTAGGTGCAACCAGAGAGTTAGGCCGGCTCACTACACTCAGAGGAAAGGCAAGACGGACATATAACCAGATTGTGACCGGTACTATCAGTATTGGAACTCTGCGCTGACAGCTGAAGATGAGGACGGCGCACGCTTGGAAATCCCCGAGTGCTGTGATGTCAATTCTTGAC